GTCGCAAAATGCTCCATTGGCAAAATGCTCCAGTCTCAAAATGCTCCATTGGCAAAATGCTCCATTGGAAAATGCTCCAGTCTCAAAATGCTCCATTGGCAAAATGCTCCATTGGCAAAATGCTCCATTGGAAAATGCTCCAGTCTCAAAATGCTCCATTGGCAAAATGCTCCATTGGCAAAATGCTCCAGTCTCAAAATGCTCCATTGGCAAAATGCTCCAGTCTCAAAATGGTCCATTGGCAAAATGCTCCAGTCTCAAAATGCTCCATTGGCAAAATGCTCCAGTCTCAAAATGCTCCATTGGCAAAATGCTCCAGTCTCAAAATGCTCCATTGGCAAAATGCTCCAGTCTCAAAATGCTCCATTGGCAAAATGCTCCAGTCTCAAAATGCTCCAGTCTCAAAATGCTCCATTGGCAAAATGCTCCATTGGCAAAATGCTCCATTGGCAAAATGCTCCAGTCTCAAAATGCTCCATTGGCAAAATGCTCCATTGGCAAAATGCTCCAGTCTCAAAATGCTCCATTGGCAAAATGCTCCAGTCTCAAAATGCTCCATTGGCAAAATGCTTCAGTCTCAAAATGCTCCAGTCGCAAAATGCTCCAGTCTCAAAATGCTCCATTGGCAAAATGCTCCAGTCTCAAAATGCTCCATTGGCAAAATGCTCCAGTCTCAAAATGCTCCATTGGCAAAATGCTCCAGTCTCAAAATGCTCCATTGGCAAAATGCTCCAGTCTCAAAATGCTCCATTGGCAAAATGCTCCAGTCTCAAAATGCTCCATTGGCAAAATGCTCCATTGGCAAAATGCTCCAGTCTCAATATGCTCCAGCCTCAAAATGCTCCATTGGCAAAATGCTCCATTGGCAAAATGCTCCAGTCTCAAAATGCTCCATTGGCAAAACGCTCCAGTCTCAAAATGCTCCATTGGCAAAATGCTCCATTGGCAAAATGCTCCAGTCTCAAAATGCTCCATTGGCAAAATGCTCCATTGGCAAAATGCTCCAGTCTCAAAATGCTCCATTGGCAAAATGCTCCAGTCGCAAAATGCTCCATTGGCAAAATGCTCCAGTCTCAAAATGCTCCAGTCGCAAAATGCTCCATTGGCAAAATGCTCCAGTCTCAAAATGCTCCATTGGCAAAATGCTCCAGTCGCAAAATGCTCCATTGGCAAAATGCTCCAGTCTCAAAATGCTCCATTGGCAAAATGCTCCATTGGCAAAATGCTCCATTGGCAAAATACTCCAGTCTCAAAATGCTCCATTGGCAAAATGCTCCAGTCTCAAAATGCTCCATTGGCAAAATGCTCCATTGGCAAAATGCTCCAGTCTCAAAATGGTCCATTGGCAAAATGCTTCAGTCTCAAAATGCTCCAGTCGCAAAATGCTCCAGTCTCAAAATGCTCCATTGGCAAAATGCTCCAGTCTCAAAATGCTCCATTGGCAAAATGCTCCAGTCTCAAAATGCTCCATTGGCAAAATGCTCCATTGGCAAAATGCTCCAGTCTCAAAATGCTCCATTGGCAAAATGCTCCATTGGCAAAATGCTCCAGTCTCAAAATGCTCCATTGGCAAAATGCTCCAGTCGCAAAATGCTCCATTGGCAAAATGCTCCAGTCTCAAAATGCTCCAGTCGCAAAATGCTCCATTGGCAAAATGCTCCAGTCTCAAAATGCTCCATTGGCAAAATGCTCCATTGGCAAAATGCTCCAGTCTCAATATGCTCCAGCCTCAAAATGCTCCATTGGCAAAATGCTCCATTGGCAAAATGCTCCAGTCTCAAAATGCTCCATTGGCAAAACGCTCCAGTCTCAAAATGCTCCATTGGCAAAATGCTCCATTGGCAAAATGCTCCAGTCTCAAAATGCTCCATTGGCAAAATGCTCCATTGGCAAAATGCTCCAGTCTCAAAATGCTCCATTGGCAAAATGCTCCAGTCGCAAAATGCTCCATTGGCAAAATGCTCCAGTCTCAAAATGCTCCAGTCGCAAAATGCTCCATTGGCAAAATGCTCCAGTCTCAAAATGCTCCATTGGCAAAATGCTCCAGTCGCAAAATGCTCCATTGGCAAAATGCTCCAGTCTCAAAATGCTCCATTGGCAAAATGCTCCAGTCTCAAAATGGTCCATTGGCAAAATGCTCCAGTCTCAAAATGCTCCATTGGCAAAATGCTCCAGTCTCAAAAGGCTCCATTGGCAAAATGCTCCAGTCTCAAAATGCTCCATTGGCAAAATGCTCCAGTCTCAAAATGCTCCATTGGCAAAATGCTCCAGTCTCAAAATGCTCCAGTCTCAAAATGCTCCATTGGCAAAATAGTCCATTGGCAAAATGCTCCATTGGCAAAATACTCCAGTCTCAAAATGCTCCATTGGCAAAATGCTCCAGTCTCAAAATGCTCCATTGGCAAAATGCTCCATTGGCAAAATGCTCCAGTCTCAAAATGGTCCATTGGCAAAATGCTCCAGTCTCAAAATGCTCCATTGGCAAAATGCTTCAGTCTCAAAATGCTCCAGTCGCAAAATGCTCCAGTCTCAAAATGCTCCATTGGCAAAATGCTCCAGTCTCAAAATGCTCCATTGGCAAAATGCTCCAGTCTCAAAATGCTCCATTGGCAAAATGCTCCAGTCTCAAAATGCTCCATTGGCAAAATGCTCCAGTCTCAAAATGCTCCATTGGCAAAATGCTCCAGTCTCAAAATGCTCCATTGGCAAAATGCTCCATTGGCAAAATGCTCCAGTCTCAATATGCTCCAGCCTCAAAATGCTCCATTGGCAAAATGCTCCATTGGCAAAATGCTCCAGTCTCAAAATGCTCCATTGGCAAAACGCTCCAGTCTCAAAATGCTCCATTGGCAAAATGCTCCATTGGCAAAATGCTCCAGTCTCAAAATGCTCCATTGGCAAAATGCTCCATTGGCAAAATGCTCCAGTCTCAAAATGCTCCATTGGCAAAATGCTCCAGTCGCAAAATGCTCCATTGGCAAAATGCTCCAGTCTCAAAATGCTCCATTGGCAAATGCTCCAGTCGCAAAATGCTCCATTGGCAAAATGCTCCAGTCTCAAAATGCTCCATTGGCAAAATGCTCCAGTCTCAAAATGCTCCATTGGCCAAATGCTCCAGTCTCAAAATGCTCCATTGGCAAAATGCTCCATTGGCAAAATGCTCCAGTCTCAAAATGCTCCATTGGCAAAATGCTCCAGTCTCAAAATGCTCCATTGGCAAAATGCTCCAGTCTCAAAATGCTCCATTGGCCAAATGCTCCAGTCTCAAAATGCTCCAGTCTCAAAATGCTCCATTGGCAAAATGCTCCAGTCGCAAAATGCTCCATTGGCAAAATGCTCCAGTCTCAAAATGCTCCATTGGCAAAATGCTCCAGTCTCAAAATGCTCCATTGGCAAAATGCTCCAGTCTCAAAATGCTCCATTGGCCAAATGCTCCAGTCTCAAAATGCTCCAGTCTCAAAATGCTCCATTGGCAAAATGCTCCAGTCGCAAAATGCTCCAGTCTCAAAATGCTCCATTGGCAAAATGCTCCATTGGCAAAATGCTCCAGTCTCAAAATGCTCCATTGGCAAAATGCTCCAGTCTCAAAATGCTCCATTGGCAAAATGCTCCAGTCTCAAAATGCTCCATTGGCCAAATGCTCCAGTCTCAAAATGCTCCAGTCTCAAAATGCTCCAGTCTCAAAATGCTCCATTGGCCAAATGCTCCAGTCTCAAAATGCTCCAGTCTCAAAATGCTCCAGTCTCAAAAAGCTCCAGTCTCAAAATGCTCCAGTCTCAAAATGCTCCATTGGCAAAATGCTCGAGTCTCAAAATGCTCCAGTCTCAAAAAGCTCCAGTCTCAAAATGCTCCAGTCTCAAAATGCTCCATTGGCAAAATGCTCCAGTCGCAAAATGCTCCATTGGCCAAATGCTCCAGTCTCAAAATGCTCCAGTCTCAAAATGCTCCATTGGCAAAATGCTCCAGTCGCAAAATGCTCCAGTCTCAAAATGCTCCATTGGCAAAATGCTCCAGTCTCAAAATGCTCCATTGGCAAAATGCTCCAGTCTCAAAATGCTCCATTGGCCAAATGCTCCAGTCTCAAAATGCTCCAGTCTCAAAATGCTCCATTGGCAAAATGCTCCAGTCGCAAAATGCTCCATTGGCAAAATGCTCCAGTCTCAAAATGCTCCAGTCGCAAAATGCTCCATTGGCAAAATGCTCCAGTCTCAAAATGCTCCATTGGCAAAATGCTCCAGTCTCAAAATGCTCCATTGGCCAAATGCTCCAGTCTCAAAATGCTCCAGTCTCAAAATGCTCCATTGGCAAAATGCTCCAGTCGCAAAATGCTCCAGTCTCAAAATGCTCCATTGGCAAAATGCTCCATTGGCAAAATGCTCCAGTCTCAAAATGCTCCATTGGCAAAATGCTCCAGTCTCAAAATGCTCCATTGGCAAAATGCTCCAGTCGCAAAATGCTCCATTGGCAAAATGCTCCAGTCTCAAAATGCTCCATTGGCAAAATGCTCCAGTCTCAAAATGCTCCATTGGCAAAATGCTCCAGTCGCAAAATGCTCCATTGGCAAAATGCTCCAGTCTCAAAATGCTCCAGTCTCAAAAAGCTCCAGTCTCAAAATGCTCCAGTCTCAAAATGCTCCAGTCGCAAAATGCTCCAGTCGCAAAATGCTCCAGTCGCAAAATGCTCCAGTCTCAAAATAGAATGCTCCAGTCACAGAATGTGAATTTTTGAATTTTTTTTGTAATTTTGGGATGTTTCTGCAAAAAACGTATTGTCTTTTATATTAATAAATTAATTGTTTTTACGATTTTTTACGCATATTTAATTTTGATCAAATTAATTCTTGCGCACGGAAAAGTCCGTAAAATGTGGAGCCAAAAATTGATTTTGCCGTCTGGTGTACTCGGATCGTGGCCTAGAATATTGAACTAAAATAATTTATAATTTTTAAAGGTACATAAATAGGGAGTTCTTTAACTAAATTTCCAGTTTAGAATATACAGTTCTCTCGGATATTGGAGAATAGACTTTTAGGGACCGGTAATAACATGATATTCGGACATCCGCTGCTTTTGGTCGCCATTGTCCTTTTGATGGCCCAGGGGAAATATGCCCAGTCATTATCTCAGGGAGTCGAGGAATTTTCCTTAGATCTCTTAAATCGGATAGCCGTCGATTCCAACCAGAACTTCATGATATCGCCCTTCTCCGTTTGGTCACTCTTCGTTCTTCTCGACGAAGGAGCTGATGGAGAAACGCATGCTGAGATGCATAAGGCCCTAAGGATCAATGTTGATCATGGACAACTGCGTGAGTTCTACAGGGAGAGAAACAAGTTGCTCAAGTAAGTAAAATGAGTTCTTATATAAGGCAAACAATTATAATTACTAATTACCACTTTTTTCTTCGTTTTTTGTACGAAAGCGTTAAGACTTCCGGAGTCGAGGTGGGTTCCCTTCAGGCGGTGTACATTTCCAACACGTTTTCGGTCAAAAGAACCTACCGGAATGTCCTTCAGAACATTTATAACGTTAGTCCCATGGAAGTAGACTTCCACGACCTGGGCACAGTGCGTCGCATCAACGAGGACATTACGCGCAGCACCCGAGGTCTTATAAAGGACCCTGTTAAACAAAAAGATGTGACAGATGCCAAATTGTTCTTGCTCTCCTCCCTTTACTTCAAGGGTCAGTGGAAGGTGGGATCAACTTGCTCTCGCCAACAGATCCCTTTAAATATATACCATTTCATTGCAGACCCCTTTTCAAAGCGAAAGGACATTTGAGAAACCATTTTACAATGAAAACGGTCAGGTTATCGCACAGGTACCCATGATGTCACAGGATGGAACATTTGCCACCGCCGACATTAAAGAACTCGGTGGTTCTGTTCTTAAGATGCCCTATGGGTCCCTGGAGTGGGTGTCAATGATCGTGGTGAAGCCCAACGATGGGGTTACATTGAACGCCGTGACCAACAATCTGAAGACCTTGGGATTACAAGCGATTCTTGAAAAGTTAACCGATCAGGAAGTGATCGTCTTTTTGCCCAAGTTTGAAACGACTACGGACCTTTCACTCAAGGAAACCCTTGTCCAGGTTGGTGAATTCTTTAGAATAATTTCTATGATTTCTTTATCAGTAGTCAGCGGATTATATGCAAAAGCAATCGATTCCTACCGATCTTTGATTAAAGATAAATTTACATTTTGAAATTCGAATGTTAGGAATTAGAGTCCTGCATTAATCGATTCAATGAATTATTTTGAATTTTTGGTTTTATATGAATGAATTAATTAGAGTGATAAGATCTGCCTGAATTTTATTTACTACGCAATTAACATTGATTTGTTAAACAATTCTTAAAAAAAAGCATAAAAAATTTCTGGCAAATTCAACAAATTTATAAAAATTATTCATTCATTCTTTCAATTCGAAATGAATAAGAAAAACATTCAATTTATTTCACATAGAATTGAATTAAATAAATCAGAAATTTCCTGGCATTCTATGATAAAACAAAAATTGAACGATTCACGAAGGGCTCTAATAGGAATACTGTTTTGCATATAGTCTTATTTATATTTATCAGTATTGAAATTCGGAAATACCCGTAAATTAAAAAATAGGTATAACAAAACGGTTAGTTTTAAATTTTGATTACCTGAACCCAAACCGTAAGTTATTTTAATCCACTTTAAAACGCTTAGATGGGCATGCCGCAATTATTCGATGAACGCAAAGCTAATCTGGACCGCATTGCTCGCGGATTATATGTATCGCTCTGCAAGCAATCGACCAAGATCATCGTCGACGAAGAGGGAACAACGGCGGCCGCGGTCACGGCCATCACGGTGGGTGGCAGGTCCCTATTCCCAACCACATTCCGGGTGGACAAGCCCTTCCTATACTTGATCGTAGAGAAGGAAACTGGCCTACTGCTCTTCGCCGGCCAAGTTCGGAATCCCAAGGCAGCTTAACCATAATTAATATACCCTATTAAGTGTGTTACGCTTAGTCAAATCTGGTTTATTTCTTGGTACGACCGGCGGCCTTTTTACCACCCACTGGCTGCTGCTTATCTTTGCCGGCCTTGCTGGAAATGAGGGGATGTGTTTCTGTAATAAAGAAGTAACATTAGAAACATCAGTGTTTTTTTGTTGCAAACATCATACCATCGGTGGGTGCATCTGGTAGGCTGACATCGTAGAGCTGCATGCGTCGGCGCTTGGAAGCCATTATATCGTCCTCGTAGTCGTGGGGATCTGAGCTGAGCATAACCGCACTGGCCTCCAGTCCGTCCTGACCTGCCCAGCCGTCCTCGGGATCCTCCACCTCCGGCGCCATCGGCAGGAACTGCAGCGCATTCTCGTCCTCGCCCTCCTCGTCGGAGGAGCAAAAGGCGGCCACTGGCTCCACCTTTTGCACATCCACCTCAATTTCCTCGTCTTGTTGCGCATCTGCGTTCAGGTCCACCGACTTGTCCTCGTCCGCAATGTCGAACTCCGACTCGCGCTCCTCGTACTCGACATTCTCATCCAGTTCCTTGAAGTCCGGTGCAAAGGCCGACCAGTTTTCCACTTGATTTTGGGCCCAAATCGATACTAGGCCGGAGCTAATGCTGGCGATAATGGGACGCACAGGATGCCACACCACGTCCAGGAGCAGCTCACCCTTGGTGCCGTGCAGGATCTTCACCAGGTTGCCAATGGACTTCTCCCAAATGTAGAGAGCATGCTGGCGCGCACTGCCAGCGCAAATGTACTCGCCATCGCCGGAGAAGCAGCACTTTTTCCAAGTAGTTCTAAATGGAAGTGATATAATAAATATATTCTAGTGTTTTATTTAGGTTATATTACTTGTTGACCAAATCCTGCAGCTTTTGTATGGGCTCCGGCTCACCATCTTTGCCCAGAGTGATTATTTCCTTCGAGTCGTAAACACGAATTACTCGATCTGAGGTGTTGATTAAAAAAGCGCTAAAAAAATTAATTTAAAGTTATGAAATCAGGGGAAGTTGGCCTCATTTTCATCACTTACTCTCCACGCCTTGCGAATTCTATGCTTTTCACAGCCGTTGCACTTGAGGTGCCCACAATAATGCGAAAACTGGCGACCACCTCGAAGGTTTCCACATCCAGGACGAGTATTTTTCCCTTGGCATTGCCTGTGTAGATGTGCTTGCCTCGGCGATCAAAAGAGGCCACAATGTTCAAGTCGCCCTAAGGGGGAAAAGCAAAGATTCAACTAAATGTTGCAAAATGTATAGGTAAACAAACATCTGAATCCAAGGGCAGGCAGCGATGGGAACCGCCGATCTCGACCAGAACGGCGGCATATCGCATGGGGCAGACGAGGAGACGGTTGTCATTGCGCGGATCGAACTGGACCTTCAGCACGGGCGAGGGAAACCTGTACTTGTGCTCCAGTTCGCCGGTTAGCACGTCCCAAATGCAAACATTGTTGTCCGTGGAGGCTGAAAGTAGCTGCAATGAAATGGAATATTATATGAAGAACTTAGGCAGGAGCAGTTAAGGACCCACCTTATGACCATTCCTGGTCCAACTAAGGCTGCAAACGGGATGCACATGGGCCGAAATGATCTTGGCTATGCCCCGCGTCAGGAAATCCCATATAACAATGCGACCATCATTGCAGCCTACGGCCAAAAGGGTTCCGTATTTGTTGAAGGCACAGGTCACGGCCAGCGAAATGCAGTCCAGCGAGCCGTCGAACTCCTCGGGGTAGTTCTGTCCAAAAGATTCTGCTCGAATAGGAGGTTATTAATTATAAACATACCGATTTCGCGCGTTTCTTACCCAGCAGCTCTAAATTCATTTTTGTTTACTATCTTCTTCTTCCAAAATGGCAGCTGACAGTCACAGGAAACTGTCGTAACAGAAATGTTAATTTACATAGAACTGGTGTGTTCGATAGCTTCTTTTATTTTAAATATTGAGCAATTAAATGAATAAAAGAAAATCAGTTGGTAAATAAAATGGAATTTTTTATATCTGTGTTCTTCGATCCAAATAATATTACAAAACTTTATTAGTTGCTACAAAGAATATTGAATGTATTTTAAAAAACCTGTTACAAAAAAAACACCGAAATTATAGTAAATTCTTTAAGTAATTCGTTAAAAAATATAAATTAATTTTTAAGCTCTAAGTTCAATCGATAGCACTATCGACAGTCTATTAAGCACCTCTAAACTTTAGAGCAGTCGATAGTGTCAGATTTCTCCCACCTCTACTTTTCGGCCATCTGGCAACACTGTTTTTGAGCTCTGTGCACGTTGTATGTGAAAAATTTATGCAGATGTATTCGCCAATTGTAACCAAGCCCGGATTGTGAAATTGCAAGCAGACACCGAGCAGCATAATAAGTGCATTCATTTGCCTGAGCAAACGTTTCGAAGGCAGCCGTTTCGGGGACATTTTGGCCGTGGCACGCGATTGTGTCAACGTCACCTTTGGAGCACTCGCTCTCACTCTCCCTCTCTCGCTCGCTCGCTCCCCCTCTCGTTGCTGCCAATTTTTTTTGCGTACGCTCTCTCGCTCGCTCCCGAAAGCTTAACGGTTGGAGTGAAATAATGAAATAACCGAGTTTTGACTTTCGTTCACAACAAAAGTGCGGGCTTTTCTTGCCAAAATTACTTTTAGTTTCGAACTGTTTTTAAATCCGTTTCGAGGTTTTCCAGCTTTCCAGTTGGCCAGCGAGAGAAAAAGAAGGGGAGCACGAACAAAGTAGTTTGCAATTACGGTGACGGTGCTCGCGCTCTGCTTGTGCTTTCCACTCCCCTCCCCTCTCTCTAGTTAGCTTTTCCCACCGAAGTGTTAATGTGTGTGTGGGTGTGTTATTTTAAACGTTTTCTTAATCGTTGCAGTGTATTCATCGCCAGCCACGTTAAAAGGAAGAACGTGTATGTGAATACGACCAGCAGAGCAGAGAAGCCAAGCGAAGGATTCAGGAGCCCAGAAATCCCCGTCCCACACACAGCCTCACGCACACACACGCACGCTCTCCGCGAGAGGAAGGGTAAATAAAGCAAGCAACGAGCATAATGTCTGGCGAGGAAACGTCTGCCGATCGCAATGTCGAGATCTGGAAAATCAAGAAGCTCATCAAGAGCCTGGAAATGGCCCGTGGGTGAGTGTTGTCAATAAGGATTTCCCTTTATCCCCACCTCCTTTGTGTACGTGCGTGGGGTATACACAACAAAACAACACGGGGATGGAAGTGGGCGTTGTGTGGGTGGGTGGGGACGCTGGGGGAGCAGCGAGTACAACCACCTTTGCCATCTTGTTGTTGCCGAGTGGTGACTCTCCTTTGCATTGTCTCCAATCTCCGCAAGATCCCTCTCTCTCCCGCCCTCTCTTTTTTGCATACGAGCAACACGTTTTTGTCGGGTTTTTATCAGTTCAAACTAGACTGATTGAGTGTTTGAGAGAGAGAGAGAGGGAGTGAGTAATGCGCCTCGTGGCCGTTGTGCGTGTGCGTACATGTTTGTGTATGTGTGTGCCCCGAAATGGGCCAAGCTTTGTGGGGCCGCCCCCCTCTCTCTAACTTTCCACCAATCGCCCCATCTCGCTCCCTCTCTTGGCCCGGTCCTTACCGCTTTACTCCGCTTCGGAGTGGGTAACAAGGTCAGCGAATCGACTGACCCCGCAGGAGCATTTGTATATATACATGCACATATATCTTGTTGTCAACATGCGCCACAGTTGGGGCCAAAATAATACAGCTGCCAACTGGAGTTTGCCACCCTTGCCAATTGGAATTTTGCTGAGTACAGTTATCTCCAATTGGATTTTATTCAAATGCCAAATAAATGGGGTTTCTATTTCTTAATCATCTTTTTTTTTCATTTTGCAAAAACTTAGAAGTTGTTATCTAATTATAATCGGGAAAAGGGTCTTTAAACTCTAAAAGTTATTACCAAAAATAAAACTAAACTTTAAACTAAAGTCTAAGAAATCTACAGTTCAAGACACTTCCGACACATTTATCTTCTTGAAATCGTAAAATAACTGTAATAAATTTCTTTTAAATTAAATTCAAATCACAGGGTAAAAAAGAATTGTAATTTGTAGTATTTTTTAATATGATATCTTTTAAAATCTATTAAAAACTTTTAAACTAAACCGGAAGTGTTAAAATTTAAGACCATATAGAGTACTTTTTAATTACTTAGACTGAATGCAAAACCATGTAATGATTTTTCTAGCATGTGACAAGATTTCACGGTCTATTTGCTAACTTTAAGTAGATCGTCAATCCTTGTAAGTGACGTGTGAATATCAATTCGTCGTGCTCTGTTGCTATGCCACAAAGACCCTATTATATTTATTATTTCCACGTCTCACTTTCTCCTCTTGTTTTCCTTCTCATTTTTCAGCAATGGCACCAGCATGATTTCTTTGATTATTCCGCCAAAAGATCAAATCTCGCGCGTCAGCAAAATGTTGGCCGATGAGTTTGGAACGGCCTCGAACATCAAGTCTCGCGTAAATCGCCTGTCCGTCCTCGGTGCCATTACGTCGGTACAGCACAGACTCAAATTATACACCAAAGGTGAGTTAAGAAAATCTTGAACCTACTGATTTAATCCCTAACTAATCCCTATTCCATTTCAGTGCCTCCCAACGGTTTGGTCATCTACTGCGGCACCATTGTCACAGAGGAGGGCAAGGAGAAGAAGGTGAACATAGACTTCGAGCCATTCAAGCCCATTAACACGTCGCTCTACCTCTGCGACAACAAGTTCCACACGGAGGCCCTCACTGCCCTGCTCGCCGACGACAACAAATTCGGATTCATCGTGATGGACGGTAACGGAGCGTTGTTTGGAACCCTTCAGGGCAACACCCGCGAGGTGCTGCACAAGTTCACCGTCGATCTGCCGAAGAAGCACGGACGCGGTGGTCAGTCCGCCCTTCGTTTTGCCCGTCTGCGTATGGAGAAGCGCCACAATTATGTGCGAAAGGTCGCCGAGGTGGCCACCCAGCTCTTCATCACGAACGACAAGCCCAACATTGCCGGACTCATTTTGGCCGGTAGTGCGGACTTCAAGACCGAGCTCAGTCAGTCCGATATGTTCGATCCTGTGAGTTAACTTATATATCCTTTGTCTCAAGAAAGTCTTGACCTTTGACTTCCCTTCACAGCGTTTGCAATCAAAAATTATCAAGCTGGTGGACGTGTCTTATGGCGGTGAAAACGGTTTTAACCAGGCCATCGAATTGGCAGCCGAATCGCTGCAGAACGTGAAATTCATACAGGAGAAGAAACTCATCGGACGTTACTTTGATGAAATTTCTCAGGTGAGTTAAGTGCCTATTTAAAGAAGTTAGTTGAAAATATCACTTTTTTAAGATTTGTTTTAGAGGTTAGAAGCAGATTATGTAAAAAAAAAATTAAAAAATAGACAGAAAATCTAATTTACAGGGAATTTTTAAACTAAACAAATAAATTGAGTGCTCAAACTTATAAATTATTAGGACTATATATGGTTTTAATTATTATTTATTACTATTTTCCACAGGATACTGGCAAATACTGTTTCGGAGTGGACGACACCTTGAGGGCACTGGAACTTGGCTCTGTGGAGACCCTTATTTGTTGGGAGAACCTGGACATTCAACGTTATGTTCTCAAGAATCATGCCAACTCGACGTCAACGACAGTATTACATTTGACGCCCGAGCAGGAAAAGGACAAGTCGCACTTCACTGACAAGGAGGTGGGTACTAAATATCCAATAATCAAAACATTTAATGCTAACTCGAAATTCAATCCCTTAGAGCGGGGTGGAAATGGAGCTGATTGAGTCTCAGCCGCTGCTGGAATGGCTGGCAAACAACTACAAAATGTTCGGCGCCACACTGGAGATTATCACGGACAAGTCCCAGGAGGGAAGTCAGTTCGTGCGAGGTTTCGGCGGAATCGGCGGTAAGTTTCAAAGTCAAAAGTGGATTCTACCCGCAGATTAGCTGGCTAGCCGTAGATCGATATTATTGCAAACAAGTGCTGCAACTATTTCTATTCCTCTTCCCTCATGCTGCTTTCCACACACGGTCGTCAACGCTATATTGTAAATGTTTACTGTAAACTTTGAAATCGGAACCTACCTCAATTCGATATGTAGGCATTTTGCGCTATAAAGTAGATTTCCAATCCCTACAGGCCGACGAGCCGCTGGAGGACGTCGATCTCGATGACTATTAAGCTGCGAATATGCGTTACATACATAATAAAAACCAGTACTTTTTGGGAAACCTCGTAAAGCAAAACGTTCAAATTGATTAGGAACCAATTTACTTGCCACATAGTTTTACCTATGTTCAGCGTAGTCGTTCAATATTTATCACCAATAGGGTCCCTCATCAGTCGGATGGTGCATTTCCTTGTCGATCGGAAGATCTAGATATGTACCTATACGTTTTACCAAATTTTTAAATCAGTCGTGTGCACCAAGCGGAACCGAGTGCGAGATTACTTTTAAGCAACAAATTAAATTCGTATTTCGTATTCGTAATTCGTAATTCAATTGTCATGTAAAAGAGATATTAGCCCATTCTCTGTTCACCTTGTTCGATTTTGACTGCGGTTTTAGTGAGCATGCCACTATTAGCTGGACAAGTTTCGAACGTATCTGCATTTCCCCTATTCAAATTACAACCGAGTGTTATAAGAAAAAGTATACAAATCTAATCCATAAAATTGTAATAAAAATTAAACCAGAAATAAAACACCACACATAATGAGGATGACTATCCGTTTATATTAAATCGCGATACAAAGAACACGGGCTTCATGTACTATTTATTAATTAGTAAATGAGAAATATATTATGTCAAAGAAGGTGAGAGCCTGATGTTGAGTTGTATTTGTATCAGTTGGATTTTCTGTGTTGAGATTTTCTTTGTTTCTTCTTTCTTTTTTCAAATATCTGCTTTGATTTTCCCAGTTTTTAGTTTGTTTTAATTTTAATTTATTTTAATTTTGCCTCCGCAGGTATCCTACGCTACAAGGTGGACTTCCAGAGTATGCAGCTCGATGAATTGGACAATGACTGCTTCGACCTAGATGATTACTAGAAAATGTTTCTGTAGAATTGAATTTGCACTACCGTCGACCGCAAACTGAAAACTGCAACTACATAAAACCAGGAAATCAAATAGAATATTTTAATAATACGAGGAACACACAAACCTTCTTCCATTTTAACGTTGTTGGCGAAAAAAGTAAAATTTAAATTAATGCATATAAATACAAACGATATAATGTTAAATCGAGGAAAACATATTAAAATGATACCGTTTTACGTGAACAAAACCATAATTTTTATTAAATTTATATGGATAAAGATACCAATATTATATATTTAACTAAGATAAATTTCAGACCTCTGATATCTTTTGGATAATATTCCATAGACTGCTGAAAGTGCTGGTAGCCACTTGCAGTTTTACTACCAGCATAACAATGAAATGGCGGTTGAAAGTAAAGGGAAATGGGCATGTCATTTCTTACTTTCTATTTGCAGGCACACTTGGAAACAGTTTATTTAGAGATCCCCAACCGATTAGTTGACGTGTACACGTGTACGACGACAAATACAACCATAATAATTTTTTTTTATTAGCGATATGCATTAAAGAATTTGGCTAGATCTATCTGGTAAGTTGAAACTTGTTTCTGAGCTACATTTGCATGCCAGTATCTGTACTCGTTTGAATATACATATGTAAGTGCAGAAAAAACGTACAGTCGATCTTCATTAACATGGAAAATGATTAGATCATATAACCATGACTTCGAATGAGAAGTTATATAAGTTTAACATAGCGAGGTTTGACCGTATGTATTTAAATATACACTAAAAAAAATATACAGCACTAAAAACGATTTTAGATTAGTGAAATAAATATATTTGCTTTCTTTTTTAGTTTTTCTTCAATACAGGATATTAAAAAAAAAAGTAATGAATGTTTGTATTTATTTGTTATTTAATTTAAATTTAACTATTAGTTAATTATTTAAAATAAAACCAGGTCCACTCTAAAGCGCACAAGTGCGAAGAAGTATGTTTGTATTTACAGCGCCGATCGTAATTTCAATTATTTGATTGTGAGCAGGCCCAGACGAGGGTATACAACTTAATGAGAATTTGATCAAGAGAACGTTAAAACACAATCAGCTGCAGTCGGTCGGGGCACTTACAATTGAAACGTCGACAACGGAGGTTCGGTTCTGGAAACCTTAACACAATCGGTTTTATAGTGGTCAACTCGACATTTTGAGCAAAAGATATGACTTCCCCGGTGGATCAGATTCGCGATGGTCTGATGGACGACTGGAAAATCCTGGAGAACGTCTTCAGTCTGCTCCAGAAGGAGGATACCTTCTGCGTGGATCCCCAGAAATGGGACAAACAGAAGATAGTTCCGTTTTTGCAGCCAGACAAACTAAAGGTGAGTGAACGATAGACATGCCGGCGTCTGCCGATCTGGAGATAGTAACCGGACTGGACTGATTAATAAAAGAGTTCAATTCAAAAATTGACCTCTGGCAGTTGTTTGAAATGATTGTATTATAGTTTGCCAGGGAAAACAACTATTTTAATAGAAAAAAATGTAATTGATAATGGTTTTTTCTGATTAAGCATACTTAAACTTAAGTGTGTGATACCATCTATTCGTAGTTCCTCTGTATTATGCCAGTAGCTCATTTGAAAAGGGTAATAATTTGTTTCTTGTGGAAAAATGTATTAACCATCATTTGTTTGAATTGATTCCTTATAAAAACTCAAGTGCACACCTGTTCTAAAGTATCTGATACAAAAAAAAGTGCTCTAGATTGTTACTAGGTCATAGAATTTTAAAGAAATTTGTTTCCAGTTTCTCTCCTCTTATCAAGAGCTTATCTGTATTACATGATTTTGTATTATCATTGCCAGGAATTGATTAATCTGAAAATCCGCGAGTCGGAGAAATGCACCCTCGCTGAAATCGAGGAGCTGTGTCAGCAGGTCATCCATTACTCCGTGAAAACATCGCACGGGCGCTTCCACAATCAGCTCTTCGGGCAGCTTGACCCATTCGGATTGGCAGGAGCTCTGATCACCGAGGCCATGAACGGCAGCACGTAAGTCTGCGGCATTTTTCCGAACATATTTATGTCTACATATATGACTGACAGCTGATTGCATCTTTTATTTCAATCTACAAGTGGTTGCAAAGTTCAACGCACAGATAATTGTGTTAATGTAATGGAAATTCCAAAGTGCTATTCTGCATAACCCTCTTTTAAGTGGAAGATGTAACGGAGATATACCTAATTTTTAATTTATTTATAATTTCATTATACCATTTTAACTAAATCCATTATCTGTAACTGACAATTATTAGATGTTAGGATAAGATAATCTCATTTGTTTGTAGAAGGTGTTATCGTTACTAGTTTTTTATCTTTTCAAGAGGGTTTTTCGCTTTATAAACCTATTTACAAATATCTAAATACCTAATTTGTAATATATTTATAATTTTATTATGCCATCCTAACTAAATCAATTATCTGTAACTGACAATTATAAGATGTTAGGATAAGATAATCTCATTTGTTTGTAGAAGGTGTTATCTTTACTAGTTTTTTATCTTTTCAAGAGGGTTTTTCGCTTTATAAACCTATTTACAAATATCTAAATACCTAATTTGTAATATATTTATAATTTTATTATGCCATCCTAACTAAATCAATTATCTGTAACTGACAATTATAAGATGTTAGGATAAGATAATCTCATTTGTTTGTAGAAGGTGTTATCGTTACTAGTTTTTTATCTTTTCAAGAGGGTTTTTCGCTTTATAAACCTATTTACAAATATCTAAATACCTAATTTGTAATATATTTATAATTTTATTATGCCATCCTAACTAAATCAATTTTCTGTAACTGACAATTATAAGATGTTAAGATAAGATACTCTTATTTGTACGTTGAAGGTGTTATCGTTACTAGTTTATTATCTTTTCAAGAGGGTTTTTCGCTTTATAAACCTATTTACAAATATCTAAATACCTAATTTGTAATATATTTATAATTTTATTATGCCATCCTAACTAAATCCATTATCTGTAACTGACAATTATTAGATGTTAGGATAAGATACTCTTATTTGTTTGTAGAAGGTGTTATCGTTACTGATCTTTTACCTTCTTAAGAGGTGTTTATGCTTTACAAACCTACCTACATATATTCCAATTTCTCCTGCAGATATACCTATGAAGTTGCTCCTGTGTTCAGCCTGATTGAAACTGAGATTATTTCGACCATGTGCCTGCTGGCGGGATACAAGGAAGGCGATGGCATCTTTGCGCCCGGAGGCTCCACCTCCAACATGTACGGAATGGTTTTGGCCCGCTATAAGATCGCTCCCGAGGTGAAGACGTCGGGAATGTTTGGTATGCGACCCCTGGTGCTGTTCACCTCCGACGAATCGCACTATAGCTTCGTGAAGGCGGCCAACTGGCTGGGATTGGGCAGCGATAACTGTGTGTCGGTGAGGACCAATGATCGGGGTCAGATGTTACTGGATGACTTGGAGGCGAAGATCACGGAGGCAAAGGCGCGTGGGGGACAGCCGTTCTTTGTGAATTGTACGGCAGGTACCACAGTACTGGGTGCCTTTGATGACATAAATGGAGCAGCGGATGTGGCGGAGCGCCATGGTCTGTGGCTCCATGTGGACGCCTGTTTGGGAGGGGCTTCACTGCTCTCCACGAAGAACAGGCATTTAATCGCCGGTCTAGAGCGGGCCAACTCCTTTGCCTGGAATCCACATAAAACCGTCGGTGCTCCCTTGCAGTGCTCACTGTTTTTGACCCGGGAATCGGGTCGCCTCCTGGACAGATGCAACAGCACCGAGGCGCACTACCTGTTCCAACAGGACAAGTTCTACGATGTGTCCTATGATACGGGCAACAAGAGTGTCCAGTGCGGTCGTAAAATAGACGCCTTCAAATTCTGGCTGATGCTGAAGGCCCGGGGATATGGAAAGTACGGACTGCTGGTGGACCATGCCATCGAAATGGCCAGATTACTGGAGGATAAGCTGAGGCAGCGCGGAGATCGCTTTAGGTTGGTACTGCAAAAGCATGAATACTCCAATGTCTGCTTTTGGTTTATACCGAAATCTATGAGGGTGTCTAGAGAAGAGGAAACGCCCGAGTGGTGGAATCGTCTTTATACCGTAAGTATAGATAATCTCGAATCAAAATATTTCTTACATTATTTTTGATCCACCCATGTTTCTATATTTCTTATAGGTGGCTCCCAAGATTAAGGAGCAGATGGCCCACAGTGGCACTCTGATGGTTGGTTACTCCCCTTTGAAGGCCCTCAATCTGGGCAACTTCTTCCGCATGGTCTTCACTTGCTTTCCCATCCTGAAGAGCGAAGAATTGGATTTCATCTTGGATGAAATTGAGAGACTCGGGGAGAAAATTGTTGTTTAATGTAAAGTTTAAGTTTTAAAATAAATATAAAATATAATAGAGTACTATGTGAATTTTAAAGGTTTTTAAAAGTTATTAAAAATCTATTTGACTTTATGACTGAAAAACTAAATTTCTTTTTTAGCTGTATTATTTCAAAATAAATTTGAAAATTATTTTTCAACCGTCAAAGTTTGTTTTAAAATAAATATAAAAAACACTAAAATATTTTGAAAGTTTTTAAAAATCCGTTTGACTTTATGACTGAAAAACTACATTTCTTTTTTAGCTGTATTTGTTTCAAAATAAATTTGAAAATTATTTTTAAACCGTTATCAACTAATTTATCCCGCCTGGCCACACATACGATTGTAAATCACCGATAGCTATCGATAAAAGTTATTATAGGTATTTTGTTAAATCTCCAGTACGGTCACACAAATCCCCATCAAAACAATCCCAGGTTTTAATTGCGAAATTGTTGGAAAACCAGGCGAATAAAAAGGACTAACCATGGGCAAAGCGGAGGTGGGTACGCCCAAGTACCTGGCCAACAAGATGAAGTCGAAGGGCCTGCAGAAGCTGCGCTGGTACTGCCAGATGTGCGAGAAGCAGTGCCGCGACGAGAACGGCTTCAAGTGCCACACGATGAGCGAATCGCACCAAAGGCAGCTGCTCCTCTTCGCGGATTCCCCCGGGAAGTTCCTGCACAGCTTCAGCAAGGAGTTCTCCGATGGCTACATGGAGCTGCTGCGCCGGCGGTTTGGCACCAAGAGAACCAGCGCCAACAAGATCTACCAGGAGTACATTGCCCACAAGGAGCACGTCCACATGAACGCCACCCGGTGGCTCACCCTCTCCGACTACGTCAAGTGGCTCGGGCGGACGGGGCAGGTGATAGCGGACGAGACGGAGAAGGGCTGGTTCGTCTCCTACATCGATCGCAGTCCCGAGGCCATGGAGCGCCAGGCGAAGGCCGATCGCAAGGAGAAAATGGAGAAGGACGACGAGGAGCGAATGGCGGACTTTATCGAACAGCAAATCAAAAAGGCCAAGGGAAAGCAAGGCGAAGAGGAGGAGGAGGAAAAGTTCACCGAACTGAAGCGCGAGGAGAACGAACCTTTAAAGCTAGACATTCGCCTGGAGAAGAAGTTCCAGCCGGACAAGGTATTGGGCAAGTCCGTCCTAACCAAACGACCTGCCTCCGAAGTCGACGAGAAAGTCTTCAAGAAACCCAAATCCCTGGCTGGAGACAGCCAAACCCGTTCGGCGCTGGACGACATTATCAAGCAGGAGGAGGCCAAGAAGGAGCGCGCCAATCGCAAGGATTATTGGCTGCACAAGAACATTGTGGTCAAGTTCATTTCCAAGTCCATGGGCGACAAGTTCTTCAAGCAGAAGGCGGTTGTCCAGGAAGTAATTGACAAGTACCAGGCCAAAATAAAGTTTCTGGATACGGGGGAAAAGCTGAAAGTGGATCAGGTGGGCTTATATTATGGAATAATATTTTTATTATTATTATTTACCCATTAAAATCCTTTTTTAGGCCCACTTGGAGACTGTAATTCCCGCTCTGGACAAACCTGTTATGGTGGTAAATGGCGCTTATCGCGGATCTGAAGCTCTGCTCAGAAAACTGGACGAGCGAAAGTATTCCGTCAGCGTGGAGATATTGCATGGTCCCCTAAAAGGACGAATTGTGGAAAATGTTCAGTACGAAGACATTTCCAAACTGGCATAGATACATTATTCTAGATTTAAGATCTTTAGATTAAACATTAAGCGATTCGATTGTACAAACGGAAATTAACGAGAATGTTCAGATAAAAGCCGCCAGCGAACTAAACCAAACTAAAGTTCGCTACTTTAACTTGGCCTACCCAGCATTTAGGTTGATTAAACATGACTTTTTAATGAATATGTAGAACGCTCTCATTTTCTCGGTATGCAAACAATATTTTTTGGGAACAATAAAACCATTAAACAAAGCCCAATTGACTAGCAATCGTTCCCATACTTGCAAAATTAAAACTAGTTTAGGCTTCGCTGTGTTTAAGTGCATGTTTGCGATATGCGGATTCTGTGTTTCATTGTTATCCTATTGCGATTCGGAGCATCTGGAAATACAGCTAAAGGAGATGCGGAGAGCAGGTCAACCAGAAGTTGGTGGGATGCAGTGCCTCGTCTTCTGACCGACATAGTTACCATGAAGGCCAACATTCTCACCGCTGCTCCACTCGAACTGGCCGCCAATGCCATCGATGCTTTGTGTATGGATATTCAAACTATGTAAATTAAATTAAAATAATTAAATTATATTTTTTACATGGGTATCCAGGTTCCTCTACCCTTTTTATGGACCGAGTGCCTCCGCAAATCACTCCGGATATAAATAAAATGCATTTTCAGTACATGACTCCGTGCCAGAACTTCAGTGTTCCGCTGCTGGAGGCCTCGAAGCTCTGGCGGCACTCCAGATTCAGCAAGGGACGCAAGGTGGTTATCCTGGCCACCGGTTGGACCAACACGGTGAACGAATCCTCCGCTATTTCCATGATCTCCAAGGCTTTCATGTGTCGTGGCGATGTGAATTTTGTGGTGGGTTATAGGTAGACATCGGATTTTAGGTGAAATCGTTTTTTTTAAATATGATTTAAAGCGACATTTGATTAGTTAAAAATTTTATTTATTAAGTTATAATTAGATTTAGGCCAAACTTAACTGAGGTTTTTGTAAAAAATTTTTAACCAATCAAATATTTAAAAAAACAAGAAAGGAAGCTAGCTTCGGCCAGCCGAAGCTTATATACCCTTGCAGATCATTCCACAAATCGCCAAAATGTTTAATTTTCTAATATTTCTCATTAATTTTCCGATCGTTCCTATGGCAGCTATATGATATAGTCGTCCGATTTTGATCAAATTAAAATTGAAATTCGGAAATATTTAAAAAGAGTCATATCCTAGAGTAGAAGATAATACAATAAAAACCAAAGAAGCTAGAATTTATTTCCTATTACTTTTCCATTAATTTTCCGATCGTTCCAATGGCAGCTATATGATATAGTAGTCCGATTTTTTTAATAATTAATTCGAAATTCAGAAATATTTCAAAAATAACATCCCCAAAAGTAGAAGGTTTTATTTCAAAAAACACCGAAGCTAGAATTTTTTATACCCTTGCAGAGGGTATTATGATTTCAGTCAGAAGTTTGCAACGCAGTGAAGGAGACGTTTCCGACCCCATAAAGTATATATATTCTTGATCAGCATCACAAGACGAGTCGATCTAGCCATGTCCGTCTGTCCGTCTGTCCGTCCGTCTGTCTGCTTCTACGCAAACTAGTCTCTCAGTTTTTGAGCTATCGGGACAAAACTTTCGCAAAAGTCTTCTTTCTATTGCAGGTAGTATATATGTCGGAGCCGACCGGATCGGACAACTATATCTTATAGCTCCCATAGGAACAATCGGAAAAAAAAAACTTTAAAAAATTCTAGCTTCGGTGTTTTTTGAAATATTACCTTCTACTTTTGGGGATGTTATTTTTTAAATATTTCTGAATTTCGAATTAATTTTTTAAAAAATCGGACTACTATATCATATAGCTGCCATAGGAACGATCGGAAAATTAATGGAAAAGTAATAGAAAATAAATTCAAGCTTCTTTGGTTTTTATTGTATTATCTTCTACTCTAGGATATGACTCTTTTTAAATATTTCCGAATTTCAATTTTAATTTGATCAAAATCGGACGACTATATAATATAGCTGCCATAGGAACGATCGGAAAATTAATGAGAAATATTAGAAAATTGAACATTTTTGCGATTTGTTAATTAATAGGAATGATCTGCAAGGGTATATAAGCTTCGGCTGGCCGAAGCTAGCTTCCTTTCTTGTTTAAAGTTTTTTTTTCCGATCCTTCCTATGGGAGCTATAAGATATAGTAGTCCGATCCGGTCGGTTCCGACATATATACTACCTGCAATAGAAAGAAGACTTTTGCGAAAGTTTCGTCCCGATAGCTCAAAAACTGAGAGACTAGTTTGCGTAGAAACAGACAGACGGACGGACAGACGGACATGGCTAGATCGACTCGTCTTGTGATGCTGATCAAGAATATATATACTTTATGGGGTCGGAAACGTCTCCTTCACTGCGTTGCAAACTTCTGACTGAAATCATAATACCCTCTGCAAGGGTATAAAAAGATTTCACCTAAAATCCGATGTCTATTTATATGAGAGTTTTGAAATAGGATTTTTAAATTTTTATTTTCCAGATTGTGGATGCCGCTGACTATGTGGACACCTTGTACTCCTGGTCGGCCCTGAATACGGACTTAATTGGCGAGCATATTGGAGTGGGTTTAACCCATCTTATAGAGCTGACTCCACTTCGAAACATCCACTTGATTGGCGAGTTAGAAAATAAATCTTCGAAACCAATATAAATATCTAAAGTATGCATTGTTTTCCCCAACAGGACATTCCCTGGGAGCTCACATCATGGGCACTGCGGGTCGGACATTTAAGCGGCTAACTGGAAAGCTAATACCCAGGATAACTGGCCTGGATCCGGCCAAACCCTGCTTCCGGCGGGAGAACGTCTTGCCAGGATTGACGCGTGGCGATGCCAAGCTGGTGGACATTATTCACACCAACATAGGCATCCTAGCCAAGCGTGGCCCTCTGGGGGATGTGGATTTTTATCCGGGTGGAGCTCATCCCATTCAGCCTGGCTGCCTGACCATCGGTTGTTCGCATACCAGAGCGGTGGAGTATTTTGCCGAGAGTGCATATCCCCAACAGGAGAAGAATTTCATGGGTAGCAAGTGTGCCTCCTGGGAGAAGCTAAGAAGACGGGATTGTTCTGCAGATGCAGTTTCCCCAATGGGCTATAAAATAAATCCCCAAGCCAGGGGCATTTACTACGTGGAAGTTAATGGCTGGCCTCCTTATGGACGGAACTCGGAGGATTCCATTGATCCTAGACTAAAGACTTGCTATCTCTGCCAGAGGTGAACTTTACACAAAAAGCGTTAGATTTAAGATTTCTACCTTAAGTATCATCATTTGAATATCGTAACTGATATAAGTTTTATTTTAAAAATCACATTTTAAGTTATTTTCTGATTTTTAAAGTAAAACTCGAAGAAAAACTGTTATTTTTTTAATTTTATAATAAAAATTGGCAAATAACAGTTATTCATCCTGATCAAAAATAAAACTTGACTGGAAACCTAGCTTGATTTCTGGCGATTTTGTAAATGTAAAAAAAAATATAGTTATACAATAAGCGTGGTTGCCTTTTTTAAAATTTTTTAGTTTTATTATAAAAATCAAAAAATAAAAACCATTACGGATTTGTAAACTGCAGCGGCTAATAAAAATCGTGGTCCCTTCTAATAAAAATGTACAATAACAGTTATTTTCGGTCCCTGATAAATAGGGCAACTAATGTTAATATTAGTTATTATTTCAAGAGCATTTTGATTTAGCATTTCGTGTATATTTTTCTTACTTTCAGTACTTATGTATACTATATCCTTATTTTACTTTGTACAACGCTTAGTAATCGATTTGCGTAAGATCTAGGTCATCGTTGAAGGCCTCTGAGATGTCCTTTTGGCTCTGCAGGACGCGCTCCTGGGTCTCGGCAATGCGCCACAACTCATCATCGTCGTCGCCCATTAGCATAGAGCGATCCCCGCAGCCCTTGATATCCGGCCGCATCCTGGCCTTCGGTGGAGCCGGGCCATTGGTGCGTTTCTGCCGGTTGCCCATCGTTATTTGGCTCTCCTCGAAGTAGTTGTTCGGATGATTGATCGTTGGCTCCACGGCTGCGTTGTGGGTCAGCTGGAAGTACTTGCCGCAGCCGATTTGATAGTGACCGCGGGAGACGAAGAACATTACCTCATCAACAGCGCTGGCGGAGAGGCCGTAGGAGGAGAGTTTGGTCTTCAGAGAGCCCTGGTCCATGTACTTATAAGGACATCCCTGGCAATCGCCCGGCGTGGCCATATCCTTGATGATCTTGGCACAGGAATACGGTGCATAGTTCACCATGGAGCCCTTCTTTCCATAGTTGTGATAGATGTTATACTCGTAACTCCGCGCAAACTTATCTGCGTCCATTTTCTTGGTGAACTCCTCGCGCCAGAAGCGCAGCGAATCCTCGAGCGTGACGCCAATTCCCTTGAGAAACAGGCCGTACTGCATCCGGCCGCCGTGCTTCATGTGATGCTGGGCACGAATGTGCTCGTGGCACATGCGCATGCACAGCGGCATGGAGGTCTTGGAGAGCTGGTCCAGCGACTCAATGGGAATCGCTGCATCCCGGCAGACGGTGTAATCCTTGCCGGTGTACGAGTTGTGCAGCGCTTTCAGCATCCGCGAGATGCGCTCGTCGCCCTCGACCTCCTCCACCAGACCCTTGGCCGCCTGCAGGCCCTGCTCGATCTCGTCCTGCTGCCGCGTGCCCACAATGGAGACCAGATCGTGGGTGTTTACGTAGGCAAAGCCTGCTTTTAAATAGCAGCGACGACCGCGCACCAAATCGAGCACCTGGGTGAAGGGCACCTTGTAGAAATCGAGCAGCTCGATCTTGGCCACACTCTGACCCGCCGTGCTCTCGTACAGCCCGTCCTTGACCTCGTCCTTCTGCACCTCCGTCAGCGGATGGATCTCGAAGTGGTTGGCCTCCAGGAACTGCTTCACTTCTCCGCTGCTGAGGGCTTGAAACTTATACCGGAAGAGCTCCATTTCGCGGGCCACGAACCAGCGGGTGAGGTCCTCGGAGCGGCAGTAGGCCAACCGCAGGATGAAGTGGGAGAGGTAGTCCCGCCGGCGGGTTTGGATGTCCGCCTCCTGCTTCGAGCCTCCTCCTCCGCCGGCGGAGCAGAGCCGCAGGTAGCTGCGCAGACCCTCGCGGGTCAGCTCGGCACTAACGTACTCCTTCCACTCGTCGGAGAGCAGGCGCAGATTCCGGGTGCTGGCGCGGTCGAGGATGCGGAGGAGGCGCAGCCGCTCCAGAGCCAGCTCCTCGAACTCCTCGATGTGCACGTCGTCCGTCGGCGGATAGTGGTACATCATCACGTTGTGCGGATACTTGGCCTCCAGGCTGACCACCTCCACCTTGACCTCGGTTCGCGGGCGTTTCTTCAGGCGGAATTCCATGGTGCGAAGATAGCGTAAATTACAATTTGTTTAATGTCGTTTTGTTGTTTTGGCGCGTAAAATACCGATAAGCAGGATCAGCTGTTGCTATGGCTATCGATGGTTTCTCAAATCGTTATCGATAAGAGCACGTAGATTGGACATAACCGTTACTTTTTAAATACTTACAATTTACTTCTCGGAATTTAAAGCCCATAACCAACTTTTCGATTTTACAGCGATATTGTTTTTAAGTAACATTTTATCCATTTTATTTTGTCCAAAGATTGGCTTTATTAATTTTTACAATTAATTGTTACAATCACAAGCTGCGGCTGAAATTCTTAAAAAAATGGTGTTTTATTTCACCTATATAAAAGTAAAGTATATGTTATTACTATATTTATTTTTTTTAAAAACTTGTTTCTTCATCAAGGTTTAATGAAGTGTTTTATTTATTTGTTTCAGGTACTTGCAAATCTGACTAGAACTCTTTGAATAAAATTAATATTAACTTAAGCATTGAACTCTCGGGAACTGATGCCAATGACCTCTAGAGATCGGCGCAAGCGTTTCCAAAACAGTTTCCTCTCCTCCAATTTGGGACTGGCATCACCCTTGCCAGTCGGCCATTTAATATAGGTTTTCACATCCATTAGATATTGCAGAGTTTTTGGTCGCTTCCTGCGGGGTATGTCCTCTAGGAAAACCAGGATCAAGTGCTCCTTGCTGACCTCGAAGATGCTGCAGATGAATTATATCAATGTTTTTGTGATTTTAAGTGTTTAAGTTTCCTTACCGATGCTGTGCCAAGTACATTTCGAATTGACACCAGTGGCTGAGCAGAAATTTGGAGGATATGATCAGCATTAGGGAATACGAGCGGTCCATGCAGGAGATGATGTTATCCAGGATAGTCACTCCAATCTGGAAATTAAAGGGGATTATTTTAAGACTAATTAGTTATAGTAAACTCTACCTGAAAATCTCGTTCATGCAGGCAAATGGACACATCCCCAGTTTCCTCAACGTTCGGCAGGAGTTCATTGAGCACCCAGGGACGATCGTTTTGGCAGTAGCTGATGAAGATATCGTATACCGCGCTGGGATCCCTTTTGGATATGTGGCTAAAGCTATCCACCGATTCCTTGGAGGCACTGGACAACAGAGCCGCGGACTTCAAAGACGAATAGTAGTAGTGAATGTGCCATCGCTTCAGGTAAACAATGAATCCCAGGATGCAGACTCCAACTATACTGCCCACCACAGCGATTACCGTATTGGTTACGCGATGCAGTTCCTCCGTGAGATCACTCATCGTTCGCATTTGGCAATTAAGCTCATCCACCTGCAGTTGATCGGTGTTATTGAAGCAGTAGTACTGACTAGCCTCATAGTCGAGCAGCTGGAACTTTAGAGTAAAATCATCTCCAAGTTCTTCCATATGAAATGGCGTAGCTGTGGAACACTTGGTGACCTTGTAATCCTCGGAGGAGAAACGCAGCTTGATTATATGATTCACTCGATTAAAATCCCTTATGTTGGAGTAGCTCTTCTTCAGCCAGGGAATAAAGCGACTCTGCCAGAGTTTGCGATCTATATTTAGGGTTTCAGCCACTGCAAGTAGATCCTGAGCCACCGATTTCTGGCTATAGTTGAGCAGGTTATAAGAGCACTCTGCTTCCTTATTATTAGAAGCCGCCACCTCGACCACCGCCCTCAAATGGCAGTCACATATAAAGTCATTCTCCCCCAGACTTAGGTAATCCAACCGCTCAAAGTCCTTCAGCATTTCATTAGAGAGCATATTTATGGTATTGCTCCTTAGGTTCAATACCCTTAGTTTCGAATTATTGTGAAAGGCGCTGCGATACCAATTGCCCACATGATTTGAGCTCAGATCGAGGATCTCCAGGGATCCCAGACTTTGAAACATGGTGGGACTCAGGGAGTTAATATTATTACCCGCCAGTCCCAAAACCTGAAGCTTTTTCAAGGACTTGGCCCACTCCAAATCCTTAAGATTCGAACGCTCAAAGTATAAATACTTTAGAGTATCGGAAATTCCATCGAAAGCATCGTCGATAATGTTGTAGGACAGGTAGGGATTCCCGGACAAGTCAAGGCCCTCGAGAACCGTATTCTTGAAGATGGTACTGCTCACCATGGGAATTGCGGTGTAGCAGAGACTCAGGAACTTCAACTTATCCCCCAAATGGGCGAAAGCCACTGCACTGTTTCGGGTCATCTTCGAGTGGGACAGGTCCAGGTAAACCAACTCCGGCAGCAGTTTAAACACATTCTGCTGGATTTTCAGGCCGTATATCAAACTAAGGGCCATTTCCAGGGTGGGCAGCTGCAGTTGGTAGCTGTAGGTCAGGAAGTTGGTGAAGGACAGGTCCAAGTACTGCAGTCCCTGGATGTGGTAGAATGTGTCCTGGCTTATGGTCATGATCTTGTTGTCCGACATGAAGAGCCGCCGCAGATTGCTGACGTTCTGGAACGCCTCCCTGCTCACATACTCGATGCTGCAGTTGCTAATGTCCAGCTCCACGAGTCGGGGCAGATTTGGAAAACTAGCCCAGGCTATAGATTGGGCTACGGAAGAGATATTGAACATATAAGGGGGATATTGTAAACTATTGTAGGTATGATAATGGCATTTACCAAAATAATGTTGTTTTGTGCAATAATGCATTTTAGTTTATTCTTATCGATTCCTTAAAGGGGGATATTGTAAACTATTTTTAGGTAACATTGATAATAGACTTATAATGGCATTGACCAAATATTTTGCTGTTTTGTGTGCAATTTAGTGTATTCATATCGATTCTTTAAATAGGGAAATTGTAAACTATTTTTAGGTAATATTTGACGATAGACCTATAATGGCATATACAAAAAAAAAATGTTATTTTGTGTGCAATTGTGTTAAGATGACCTCCATCCTCGATTTCATAAAATTTAGTTAATTCATATCGATCCTTTAAACTTTTTTTATTTAATATTTGATGATAGACTGATAATGGCCTTTACCAAATAATGTTGTTTTGTGTGCAATAGTGTTAAATGAACCTCCATCCTCGATTTCATAAAATTTAGTTTAATCATATCGATTTTTAAACATTTTAAAGTTTTCAAAAGTCTGGCTGAGTTTATGTTTTCAGTCTCGTTATTAAAAATCGTAATAATTTCGAAATCAAGAATGGGGCTCGTGGTCTTACATGTCTTTCCGTGTTGAGCAAACCGATCTTTCAAGAACCGAATATAGTCCTCATAGTTAAGACCGGTTGTGATAGAGTGTGCCGTGTTTGTGTTGTTGTGAAAGTACAGATAGCACTCCCGATCGTACAGATCGGTGGCATTAAGGGCGAATTGTACCTCGCACTTGTGTTGTGCAGTGTTACTTGCTTCCAAGATGGTTTCGTTTAGGAACCGACCAAAGGCTGAAATTGCGAAGGATAACTGGCAATCAGAATATGGCGACCATCGCATTTCTGGATCTCAGAAACCAATATATGATATGCGATCCGCACTTCACCTACCTTCAGCATCTGGGATCAGGTCAGCGAAATTGTTCCCCCGCAATGATAATAGCTTCAGGGATTCCCTCATGGAGTAAAGGGTCTTGAATGGAGCAGCACTCAATGTATTGAAGGCAGCCGAAAAAACCTCTATTCTCCATCTGATAAACTTCCTTCTCGCTGATCTCGCCTCACGCAACAAGTCGGAGTCCTCCTTTAGGTTACCATGCGATAGATCCAAATACATTTTGTTTGCTTTAAATAAGTAATTGTAGTTATGATAAAACATGATGAAGTGACCCGATTTGCAACCTATCAGTTATTTTAAATGTTTTTGGCGCCCACACCTTTAAAGATTTCCGAGAAGTATAAATGCAATTTTGTTGTGTATATGTATACCTATCGAAATGTAAAAGACATTTTTCAAATCGGACCATTAGTTAAAAAGTTATGCGTAATCAAAAAAATTGTATATATCCATCTGCCTCGCACTCCTTTTACCTGAGTGACGGGTATTAGATAGTCGGGACACCAACCCGACTGATTTACAGATACGCTTCTTTACATAGAACATACCTCTAAGGTTCTTCAAGTACCGGGTACACTAATCCAAAAAGATACAATCTATTTTTGCTGAGGCCCTGATAGCAGCAAATAGCTTTGTTAAATCCACCCCCCTAATTCACTAGTTATACAAAGCTTTTACCGATAACAGCTACAATGGTAGTTAACGATTCTAGCGGCTTAACTTAACACTAAAAAGCTTTTATCAGCAGTCGATTCGAATTGCCGGAAGCGTGGAAATATATCACTTTGATTGCTGTTAACAACGCTCAATCAAATTTGGGTCTTCTTATTGGGTGCTTATGGAAAGGTTTACCGAATTTCTGAGTTCCTTCCTTGAGGGTTCCGTTGGGATACAGCCACCATATGACTTCGTCTTTGATCATATCCAAAAGACAACTATTTCCGTCATCCGATGTGTACTCCAACATGAGGTTCTTGAGATCAGCTCTCTCCTTGCTGGCTTCATCGGACTCCTCATTCGATGTTGTCGATGAATCTGGCTCGGTGATTATCCCATCGAGAGTTGATAACTCAGTGGATGTATCTCTAATATTTCCGAGAAGCAGGAATACCAATATAGTCACATCCAAGATATATTTCGGGCTCATTTTCACTTAATTGCGCACTTGTATAGCCTGCAAATTGGTGTTATAAATACGATTTGACACCTGTTTTGATTTCACAATCGCTGCGCTAATCGCGTCTTTCTAAAATTGTATAATCACTGGTATAGTTCTTAATACTTTCAGCCTTTAATGACTTTCAATTTCACTGGTTATTCCGAAATTTTAGCAACATTTTGTAAACGAAGCACTCGCTTTGGGTTCCCGAAAAGGACTGACAAGAGTTTTGGCCCGGCTATTGGTCAGCCGAAAATAATTGGTAGCAGCGATACATATGTGCAACTAATTCTGCCACGATAGGGCTTATCAATTTTGGCAATATCTTCCCTTGAATGGCACGGGACTATCAGCGTATCGCTATTTCGGTGGCAGTATGCCTCAGTATGCCTCACGCCCACGCACTAATTCCTTATCGGATAATTATCTGGTCGTCGGGAAATGGTGATTAGTGCCGTACTTCAATGGGATCGGTGCTTTGGATCAACCGTAGACGATACGGTTTGTTTTTGGCCAGCACATAAATTAAAGTGAAACACCTTTTCGAGCACTTGGGAATGTTTGTAGATAGAAAAGCGTTGATTTACTGCTCGCAGTCAAGAGTGATAAGAAACCGTTTGGCAAATCTTTGATTATCATTTGATCGCCGATAGGCAAAGCTAACCACTAAATACAATTAGGTTGATATTCCCTTCAGACATATCATGTAGGTTATTGCCCTTATAGTATTCATTGATGAATAATGATTGGAAGATAGCGCGGTATATGCGGTAGCCATCTATAACTTTTTACAGGTGTAAGAACAAATGGTCATGAGCGCTTCCAGATATTACTAATCTGCCTCTGATAACACAATCCTTTGAATGACTGTTCAATGTTGTTTTTAAGTCTTTTAAATCTTAAGGCCAAGTTTTTGTCGAGTCAGCATGCAGCAGAAAGAGTTTATTAATAAAGCATATTAATCGCTTAAGTATGTTCTATTTTTACTTTCATTAGGATTATTTACAATTTGAGTTTAATGCTTAAGGAAAACACTCTTGAAGTTAAGACAGAACAAAAAAAGCATGTTCGATATGGTCATGTAAATTTCAGGTCATGCAAAACCCATATCGTTTTTACAAGAAATACTCTTTTTTATCAAATCAAAATTGATCTTAAATAATTTAAAATCGATCTACGTTTCATATCGATTTTTGTTTGGGTGAAGTTTAAAAACAAAGTCAGTTGGAAAAATTATCAAATTATCAAATTTATAAAACATGCACTTAAAAAAAAATCCTAGCCGAAATGCGAAACACATTTACAAGGGCATAGGGCTCGTCAAAAAAACATGTTAGGTGAAATCGTTTTTTTAAATTCGATTTAAAGCCACATTTGTTTGGTTACAAATTTTATTTATTAAATTATAATACGATTTAGACCAAACTTAATTGCGGTTTTTGTAAAAAAAATGTAACCAATGAAGTGTGACTTAAATCATATTTAAACAAGAAAGGAAGCTACCTTCGGCCAGCCGAAGCTTATATACCCTTGCAGATAAAAGAATGCTCACTCGGTGCAGTTCCAGGGATTCCAGATTTAGCGTTTCTATTTATTTAAATTTTGTTTTTAAGTAGTCAAGAATCAAAACGCCTACTTTCTACAAAGTTATAATAAATTTTCTTATATTTGTTTGAATATTCCTATGGGAGCCTTAAGATTTAGTGGTCCGATCTGGCTCGCTCCGACATACAGTGAAACATGCAAAAAAATGAATAAAATGGGTTAAATTCGTCGTTTTTTGTTTTTACTTATACATAATGCTAATATCTTCCAAAAACATAAACAAAAATTACATATTTTCAAGAAAAACACTTAGTTTTCCAACAAAAACAACGAAAAATCCGATTTTTAAGGGTATTTTCCCATACAGCTGAACTGTTGGGCGAATATCTCAAAAACTGACGATAATAATTTAATGAATCTTTTACTGTAGTTAGTTAATTTAATTTCTGATTTTTTGGGATACCGTGCAATGTGGAGCACGCTCTGTGAAAGGAGAAATAATTCATTTTAAGTTAGCGTCGAAAACAGGAAGCACCCGATGGCCATTGAGGGCATTTCCCCATGCCGCTAAACTGTTGGACAAATATCTCGAAAACTGACGATAATAATTGTTTGAAACTTTTACTATAATTAGTTCATTTAATTTCTGAATTTTTGGGATACCGTGCAACATGGAGCACGCTCTATGAGAGGCAAAAATAATTAGTTTAAGTTAGCGTCGATATTGAATTTGTAAGACGGTTGTTGTGTCGGATACTGCGGTTCATGTCATAGCTGGCCATGGTTCTTGTACTGGGGTTGGCGGTATTCTAATATCCGTTTAAAATTGAAACACTGTTAGGCGATTTTCTCGAAAACTGACAATAATTTTTTTAATAAAATTTTCAGGGAGCATACTATAAGCTCGTACTATAAGCTCGAAATTGTGGAACACGCTTTGTGAAAAAAGTTATGGATAAATTAATTTTTAAGGACTTTTTTTGTATGGGCGGATTCAGAGGTTGGTCCACTGTTAAGTGATTTTCTCAAAAACTGACGATAATTTTTTGATGCAATTTTCCTCAAATGTCCTTCAAAGGACGAGCGCGCTCGGTGAGTGGAAATATTACCCAAAACGTGGGGACCTGATTTTTTGAATGCATTTTTTTCACACTTCCGAACATCGGCTAGACTCGCGAATTGCCTAGATCGAAAGAGAATTTCATTCTTAACAAGTTTGCAGTTAAAATTTTTCGATTTGGCCCCCAGAAGCCCCAGAAATCAAAAAATAAAAATTGGCCCCGTGTTCCAGTTTCCACCTTTCCGCTATCGCCGCTAAAGTCACCGACGCTAACTTGACGCACATTAAGAAATGTATTTTTAAAAATAATTATAAATATTTCATTACATTTACAGGAAAAGCTAAAATAAAAACTAATTAAATTAAAAATAAAAATCAAAATGTTCAAGAACTTTTTTAAATGAAAAATGATTTCGGTATTATTTAAAAATTTTAATTTAAACATTATTTATTTTAAAGCTCCGTCTATAACCAGCGGACTAAAAACTTTGATACAGATATTTTGGATTTTTTTTTCAAGATCCAATTTGAAAATTTTCACTTTTTAATCTTTTTTGAAAATAGAAATCAGTTAATTGAGAATTTTATTGCGTAAAAAATTTTATTTTATAGAAAGGTGAAGACAACGAAAAAATATATTTTGCTTTCGTGTCACGAACCAGAAACACAAGCAACCCCCTCACCTATCGATAGTTTACAGGCCTCCCGTCGGCCTATCGGCATTTGGCTGCCCACTTTTGCCACCCCCAAAACGCAGTTCCCACGGCAAGGTCCGCACTTGCTCCAACTTTTCGGCTGTAAACAACATCAAAAAGCGGTAAAGCAGATAAAATTACATAAATCACAGAGGTGACAACGGCATAGAAGAACAGGAAATACAGTGCGCGACACAGAGAGCAAACCAGAAACGGATTCCCTGCGCACCTGAACCTGAACTTGAATGTCGCGCGTGTTGTTGCTGCTTTTATGCTAGACGACGTCGTAGGCCAAGCAAACAAAAACAACAAGGCTGCTGGCGGCAACAATGGCCTGCTAATTATAAATCTCTCGATCCCAGAGAATCGAATCAGCAGACAACGAGATGTTCAGATGCTCAGATGCTCGGATGTGTGGGCGCCGCAGCATGCCAATGTTGTTACGTCGCCAGCAGAGACCACCACCCTTCTCGGCCCAACCACCCCCTGAATGGCCCACAAGCCTCCCCTTCTTTTTTTATTTCGCGGTGGTGTCGCCACATTTATTACCCAGCATATTGATTTTCTGAATCCTTTCAGCTCGCTCGCCTTCAAAGGATCCCATATGTATTATATTCCCTCGCCTGCAGGTGAGTAAATTGTATGTTACCCTTGGTAGTGCCATTAAAATCATAAAAAATCTTGCAGGGCCGCACACGCAATCCCCGGCAGTCAACCCAATTAGCCTGATTTCGAGTACGTCATCGCCGGGCCCAAAATAATTTGCATTTGCATTGTGCTCGATGACGTCCGGCTTCTGTATTTATATGGCCAGCGGGCAGAGTTCGCCAGATCCCACAGATAGCGCAAATTAGCTTGACAAAAGGCGGACCAATGAAGACCACTTAGCACCTTAGATGATAGAGTCATTCGTTCAGCCACCATGCAGCACAGCAGCACGGGCAGCGAGGAGCGGATAACCAGCAGCACCAGCAGTCCCAGGTCAGGCCACAAGTCCGCCGGCTCCCTGTTCGGTTTGCTGAGCAAGCGACCGAGCAAAGTGGAACCCCATCCCGTGACCCCCGAGTCGCCCAGGCTCCAGCAGAGACCCCTGTCCGCCTGCGGCCAGTACGATGTGAGTTTCGCCAAGTGCAGTGCGGAAACCGCTGGAAATCATATAAACAACAATGGCCAAACCCTCAAGAGCCAAACGCTGCCGCTGGAAAAGTCGCACAGTGGGCTGATCAGCTTCCACAGGCGTGCCAAGCCGAGTTCGTCGAAGGGCAAGAGCCACTCGCATCGCCACAGCACGGATGCGGGCTCCCAGAGTGATGGAGGAGCCGATGTGGTGATGCGGCGCAAGTCGCCCAAGCACAGGTCACCGAATCACAACCGATTTAGCCATCAGTTTAGTTTGTGCTGCAAGGCGGAGAAGAAACCGATGACGCCGCCGGTCACCGTGCGTTACAACTCCATACCGGATAGCAACAGCGTTCTGCGGCGCGACAACCTCTCGCTCAGCTGGAGCATGGTGGACAACAACTCCGGGTCGCTGCACTCCAGCGAGGGATCCTCGCACCGACCGCGTCCGTCCAGCGAGTGTGCCAGCGCCCCAGAGTCCCCGGTGGCCAGTAAAACCTTTGCCTTTGCCCACTGCAGCCCAGCGGCGGCCAGCGCTTCGGTGGCCCGCAGCGAAAGCCTGCAGAACCGGTCGCCCATCCGACCCATTGCAGTCTCGGCCTGCCGTTCGCGACTGCGTCTGAAGCTCTATCCGCCGGGACAGGAGCTGCCACCCCTGCAGGCCGCCGAGGAGCCGGGCGACATTAAGAGAGCCACCACACCGCAGCACATGTCTTCGCCCAATATTGCCACCCAGCCGGATGGAATGGAGCCGATACAGGAGCAGCCAGGCGTGAGATTTATGTCGCACGAGAATATGACGCTGCAGCGGCAGGGATCGGGATCCAATTTGGCCCGTCAGACTTTGATGGCGGCCCACGCATTGAACCTCATCCCGGCGGACAAGGCCAGGGAACGGAGCTACCTCGACGGCAGGCTGGGATCGTCGTCGCTTTTGGGACCCAGTGAGCTGGGACGCGTCTTGCCGCAAAAGGAGGTCACCATTTTCGTGGGCACTTGGAACATGAATGGACACCATCCACCCAAGTGAGTATGCAAATAAGAGCCCAGCGTGAATCATTCAATTTTTGTTTTATCATAGTATGCCATGAAATTTCTGATTTGTTTAATTCAATTCTATGTGAAATAAATTGAATGTTTTCTAATTCATTTCGAATTGATTGAATGAATGAATCATTTTTATGAATTTTTTGAATTTTCCAGATTTGTTTTGTGCTTTCTTTTGAGAACAAAAAGTCAAAAATTTTTAACAAATCAATGTTAACTGCTTAGTAAATAAAATTCAATAGAAATTGTCGTTTGAATTATTTCGGAATTCATGCCATTTATTCATTCAATTCTATTAAACTAAAAAATTCAAATTCATTCAATTCTATTAAAATCAAAATTCTAATTAATTCATTCGTATAAAACAAAAAATTCCAAATAATTCAATGAATCCATTCATGCAGGGCTCTATTTTCAATCAAGAAATGACACGTATTTGCATTTTAAAACGTGTATAACTTGTAAATCTATACTTTCAGGCAACTTAATGACTTTGTGCTGCCGCCCAATGTGGAGAACGTTCCCGATATTGTGGTGATGGGCACACAAGAGTCCACGCCCGACCGCTTCGAGTGGGAGGTGACCATTCAGGAGACCCTGGGACCCTCCCACGTGCTCTTCCACGCCACAACACTGGGCACTCTCCATTTGGCCGTTTACATGCGAAGGGATCTCATTTGGTACTGCTCCGTGCCCGAGGATGCCTCCATGTCGGTGCGCACGGGATCCGCCTTTCGCACCAAGGGAGCTGTGGCCATTTCCTTTTGCCTGTTCGGCACTTCCATGCTGTTTGTGACCTCGCATTTAACGGCGCACCAGCAAAAGGTGAAGGAGCGGGTGTCGGACGTGAAGCGGATTATCAACGCTCTGGATTTACCACGTAACTTGCCTAATTTGCGGCATAAGAACAAGGATGTAACGCAGAACTTCGACAACGTGTTCTGGTGCGGCGATCTTAACTTTCGGCTGGCCGAACCGCGTGAAAAGCTGCTGGAGTGGATTCAGAACACCAAGTTCCCGCTGCCGTCGCATCTGCCGCATGGCTACATGCACACGGATCAGCTGACTTCCGTTCTGGCCGATGGCGCCGCCTTCCGAGGATTTATGGAACATCACATCACATTTCCGCCCACTTACAAGTTCGATCCGGGCAGCCAGAACTTTGATACCTCGTCGAAGCAGCGGGCGCCCGCCTATACGGATCGCATCCTCTACAAGTACCGCCAAATGCAGGGATTAGTTATCCGTCGTCAGACGCTCGTGCCCGGCGTTTCGACGCCCACGCAGCCCTACGTCCAGTGCCTGCTGTACGACTCGGTGCCGTCGATAACCACGTCGGACCACAAGCCCGTGTGGGCGCTCTTTCGCACGCTCATTCGTGCGGGAACCGATGCGTAAGTGATGGGAAACTTTTTGAAAGATTAAAGATATTAAAGATTATTTTATTTTTCAGTATTCCCCTGGCTGCTGGACTCTTTAGTCGCGACATTTACCTGGAGGGAATGCGTAGGCGCTTGAATAACCAGTACACCGGCGCCTCTGCTGTGTGTGTGCTTCAGTAAACCAAAGCTATGAATAGTAGACCTCTTCAGCAGGCTTCCCAAGTGGCCACCCATTTACTCGAATCTCAAAGTACTAGTCAAAGCTTACCTACGGTTGTGTGACGCCTTTGCATTAACCCCAATTAGATTGTTAACTAGTGCGCTGTCGGATACCGAAAGTAACGATTTAACCTGACTTACCCTGCAATGCTGCGGTAGTTCTTAGGCGCTGCCTTTCGCCTCGAGGCCTTAGTCGTAATACGTTCCTTAAAAGTTAATTAAAAACATACATACTCGAGCAACAATTCTGTACCTCTACTATGAAGCACAAGCTTAGTCTGTAGTTAAACTAAATCTGTTAGTTAAAGTTTAGTCAAATATTGAAATGAAATCGAAATATGAATTACTTTGAATGTGTAATCTAAACTAGCAGTAAATATACTTTATGAATCTAAAGGGAAAGCTTTATTACTTGTTGAAATACTTTAATATTTATTGTTAGCTTTATTATATCATTTTTATTTAGTTTTTTTAAGAGTTACTGTTGAATTATGTATAGTGAAGTTGATTATTTTTATAATTTGCAAACCAAATGCAGTTTTTAATTTGTTATAGGCAAGCTTTAAGTTCTTGTTTATTTTTATTAAACGATTAAACGGCTGACTTTTCTGTTTCCTTACTTAAATACTAACATTTTAGCAGGAGGCATTGGACAAAAACGGAAGTATGTGGGGTCGTTTATTCCCCGAAAATGCGCCAAAAACGAGCGGAACGACCAACTCCTTCCAATGTCCCGGGGCAACCAATACGCCACTCGGACACACACACGCAAATATGTTAAACTTTTGACCAATTTCAACTTGAGTTGGTTGCCATCGGACGCACTCCGGGGGCAGCAATTTATTGGATGGCCATGGCGATTGGCGCTCGATGGCCACGCTGCAGTCACACTGCCACTGGCACCGCCACTTGTGCGCCAAACAAGTGGCCTCGCGGTCTCCTACCTCCCATTTTCACCCACCTCGTCCAGCAAGTGCAGCTCCACCCAGAAAAGCTGGTTGCCATTTGTGGTTACTGTATATGAGTGTGAGAGTTTGGCTAGCGAGGGCTGATCGTGATGTTTAATATGTTTTATAAGTAGAGATAATTTGGGTAACAAAAATCAATTCTTGAATTTTTTTTTAAATATTCAATTTCTCATTTTTTAATGTTCGAAGGATTAATATCCGGTATTTTACCATAATACAGATTTTAAAATAAAATAAATATATGATTATGTGATTGACAAATGAAAGTGTGAATTTTGTTTATCAAATAAAAAATATATTTAAGTAATTAAAATATTTAAGCAAATTTTGTCAAAATAAATCTACTTATCTGCCATTTTTAATTGGTAGGTGTAAGTTAAATTTTAATGAGTTTCTAAATCTTTCTTTAATCAGTAAATATTTCTATCTTCGTTTTAGTTTTTTTTTCAACAGATCTTAAAATACAAAATATTTCACTTTCTTTTTAGCGTTTTGTTTAGTAAATATTTCTTTATTTTATATGTTTTGGTTTATTATTATTAAACAAATTTCTTAGTTATTAGTTAATTTCTTATTAACCCACCTCGATTATGTGGGTATCCATCCGAACATTTCAGCCACTTGTCAAAAATCCGTTTTCGAAAGCGATTTTGAAGAAGTCGGTGATTAAAATGCCCCTGCCAGACAGACTCGAAACCGTTTGTATTGGCCATTTCCGCTTTGAGTGCCCCTATGGGAACTCACGGAACTCTTATGGAGGCCGGGGAATTTGTTTAAAAAAACGAGAAACAATTTCGGATGCAGTTTTTTGCGCTGCGGTCAGCGGATGGCATTGCTGGGTGCTGGCTATTATTGTTTTTTCCAATGCTGCTGCTGCTCCTGCTGTAATTCATAAAGTTTTTGGTGCAATGCATTCTTTCTGGTTTTGCCTCGGGCCTTGGTTGAAATTAGTTTGCGTCGGTTAGCGAAATAATATTGCATATGAAAAGTGGGAAAAAACTGAAGCTCATTTCCTTTTCCGGTTGCAGCAGGGCCGGTGCGAAAATTTAACCACAATATATGAAATTATATTAGCATTGGAGTCGGGCAACTTGGCGAATATAAAAACTATGCCCCTTCTGTCTGTCTTCATGTGTCTGTGCACTGAACATTAATATCCTGTGCGCATTCGTACGTGTTAATATGACTTTATGACTTCATATGTGTCCATATTTTTGTCCTCGCCGCTTCACACTAAAAAGTTTTATTGTTAGTTACGCTGCTGCCGCCATCAAAGCAACCATTTTTATTCACAGCGCCGGAGATGCAGAAATTATTAAAAATTTTCCCTACTCGTATCTCATCCACTCGTTTGCACCGTCACAGACTGAACTTTTTCATATGTTACTGCGAGATGCCACGGATGCACCAGGGAACGATGAAGGCAGCCGGTTTGATGGATGCGAGTCTCTTAGGTGTCTTGCGAAGGGAAACAGTGGGCATCCAGTGCGTATGCGTAATATTAAAAGGGGTGTCTTTAAATAAAATGGTATTTCTTCGTATTTGCAGACAATTTCTTCTGCTTTTCGAACACTTTCTTATAAAATTTACTAGAGTACAGTTGCACAAAAAAATACGAATTTTTGCAAAAGATTGTATTGAGCTAATGTTCTTAAGTTAACATGGGGATAGAATACCATCTTAATGGTAAATTCATAGGCTAGCGGAATTAATAGGACAGGTATGATTTTCTTTGAGTTTTTATATAAAAAAAGAAGAAAAGCCTAATTTGTTTTAAATATGTTGATATAGTTTGGCAGCCTCACATACCATTAATAATTTTTTTATAGTACTTAGAAATCGTATAAAAAGAAGGACGTGTCTAGAATTTTGAACGCCTTATTATTTCACCTAATTTAAATACTAAATTAAATAATTTTAAATATTCAACGCCCAATTGACGTTATGTGGCCCATTTCCGTTTAGTCAGTTGCCTCGACGAAGTTCCGGCTCCACATTAACGGCAGTTCCCATACGCCATAGTCCCATTCCCAAGTCCCTCCTCCCTGGATAACCCCCTTTTGGGGAATATCGCCGGCATTCGGCGTAGCCACTTGAATGCTTATTGTACATTTCAAACAACTCTATTACGAATATTTTTCATATTTTCTTCGCAAGTGGGGCACAGAAAAAGTTAACATTAAAACGGATGGCGGTGCCGAAAAGGCTGCCGGAGTGACTTTTCCCTCGGCAGGATGACAGGAGGAGTGGGCCAAGGGATGGCAGGCAAGTCAAAGCAACCAATTCGCATGCGGCACGTTACATTTTCGCAATAAAAAATGAAAACCGCTTTGCATGCATCTGTAGGAGACTGCGAATCGCACTTGCTTCCAATGTTTGGTACAGTGTGTGTGAGCTGGGGAGGAAGGGAAAAGTAATAAATGTACGTGCCACACTAACAACAACACCGGGGAAAGCAGAAGAAAAAACGCACACACAACTTGCTTACAGACAGGGACACATCGTGTCAATTTAGCATGAAAAAGTAAGGAAAACTTTGCCGAAGCCTCAAATATCCTTCAAAAATAAAGGTCGTGGAAAAATAGCGAACAATAATATAATAGTAATTTCTCTTTTTAATTTGATGAAAAAGAACATTCCTAAAATCAAAATATTCAAAATATTTAATCAAAATAAATTTTCAATTAAATCAAATCAAACAAGAGAGAACGCTATAGTCGGGTTGGTGTCCCGACTATCTAATACCCGTCACTCAGCTAATGGGAGTGCGAACGCTGTACTCGGGTTGGTGTCCCGACTAATAATCGTAACTCAGATAAAGGGAGTGCGAGGGCGATAGATATATAAATTTTGATTGCTTATAACTTTTGAATGAATGGTCCGATTTAAAAAATGTCTTCTACATTTTGATAGGTATAAATATACACAACAAAATTGCATTTATACTTCTCGTAAATCTTTAAAGATGTGGGCGCAGGACCCATTTTAAAATCGTTGGTGGGCGATTGTGGGCGTTGGAGGAGGCGTGGCGCTCGGCTAAAATAAACTTGCGCTGCGTAGGAAGCCAAAGAATATGTGTGGGAAATCTCAACTTTTGTAGTTTCTGAGATCTCAGCGTTCATACAGACGGACAGACGGACATGGCTAGATCGACTCGGCTAGTGCCCCTGATCAAGAATATATATACTTTATGGGGTCGGAAACGCTTCCTTCTAGCTGTTACATACTTTTGCACGAATCTAATATACCCTTTTACTCTACGAGTAACGGGTATAAAAATGGTACAAATATAAAACCGAAACATTTTTTTTTAAAGCTTTCGTTATTTTGGAATAATTCCATCAAAAACTGTCATACCTTTTTGAAGGATATTGGGAGATGGCACTTTCGTTTCCGCTTCCGCTCCGTTCACTGCTTCGCACATGTCACGATCACGATGCATGCAAATGCATGGAAACGAATGTGAGCTGAGAAATGGGAGTCCTGGAATACGAGTGAATGTAATAAAAATAAACTACGATTTTCTTTGACTATTCTGAATCCCCTGCACCCATCATATCCTTACCCATTCCCATCGTTTCGCCTCCCCCGCGCAATTCTTTCTATTATGCGAATATCCTGGCGCTTCCTTGGCGTGTCCTGCCTCCCTTTTGAAGGACCGGGGTTCGAGATGGAAGGGCGCAGTCTGCGGCGACGGGTCGCAACTGCTTCGCACGCACCACTCTTGCGTTTGAAGTAGCTTTGGATTGTATAAAAGTATCCATAGCTACCATAATTTAATGAAAACATAATCTGCATTCAGGAAAAAAGAAACGAAAATCGCAGCCAAACCCGCGAGTGGAAAACGCCCAACAAAGGGAAGCTCACCAGCAAGAAGATCCTGCAGAAAAATCGTATTAAATGGCGACAAGTCTGGTCGAGGGCTTTCAGGGGCTTTTGTTGGTCGCCGAATTCCGCTACCCGAAGTTGGATTGTATGCACAATTTCTCAAAAGAAAATGTCCTGCCAATATTTCAAGAGGTTTTTATGTTTGGTCATAATTGGCCAAAATGCTACTGATTCCTTGCTTATTAAAACTATTTATGAAAATGTCTTTAGCCTAAAGAAAATTGTGGATTTAAACAGAAGTCTAAAATAAATTAAATATTTTCCAATATCGTTTAATGTAAATCAGTAACCACGCAATCAATGAGAAAATATTTCAAATATCAAATGCAATTGGAAACTTATTAAGTTTAAATGTTTTAACGGCTTTCGCGGCAGTTCATGTATTGAAGGCATCTGTTTACTATCCGATCCGCGAGGCATTGGGAAGTATCTGGTTTCATTTTACTTCCCTTTTACCATTTTATTGAATCTTCCGTTTAATTTTTTTTTGCAGAATTTTTGATGATTTCTTGGCAGCATCTTGTATTTGCGCGGGGCACAACCAACAACTTGAGCAGCGACTTGAGTAGCTGGCAGGAAAGTTTCCTAGACAACTCCTTCAGGTCCGCGGAAGGCAAGTCGAGGGACTGCTGGCTAAATATCCTTTAGCCTTTGGAGAATCAGTAAGGCGCAGAGGACCAGAGGACCACTTGTGAATACGCTTTGATGCGCGTGGCTTTGTGCGGGAGTGTGACTGATGTTCTCGTTTTTTATTTTTCCCCACTCGAGGGTTTTTTCCTTCCTTCTGTTGTATTCGCTAGGTTGGGGTCCTGGAATTGTACCTCCCTTGATATTTATTTATTTTGACTCGGTGCCGCTGCTGCCGCTGCCGCTTTTCAAGTATTTCGTGAGTAGCGTAAAATACGCTCGCGAAATGTAATAAAAACATTTTTTCCAGCGGCTGCAGCCAACATCTTATTCCTTTCGTTTGCTGCAGCCGATTTCTAGAGCCGTCAAGCTCAACTTCTCGGCTTTGAGCTACTGAACTCGCAGTTTGCCGCTTGTAAAGTATCTACAAGATATTTTTAATACATGCCCGCGACTTTCAGTGTGTGCGTAGGTTCCTCACCCACTTAGGAACACTCATCCGTCCGGTTGGCATCCATTTGATGTTCGCCATCCTAGTGTTTTCTTTTTTCGGCTTTATTGGCAGCAAAATGAAAAACATTCCAGTCATATGCAAAAGTATGCGATGCATTTTTGTATGTTTTTTTTTATTTGGTTTTCATGATTTTGTGTTTACCCAAATTACGGCTATGAAAATGTTGCAGCCAGCGAAGAACATGTCGAATTTCCCTTTAAATATGTATGCGAAATTTGCATATTAAGCGACTCCCACTTGGCTGCCTGCTGCTCATTTGCATTTGACTTTCGGCTCTTCGGCTTTGAATTTTGGCTTTGAGTCGGCAACACCTTGCCTCGAAAGTCAATCTTCATCCAGCTGTAGCTACGGATTCATTGTCTTGAACTACGCCCCTTTGGTGTCTGGCCTGTCAACTGGTCCTGGTCCTGAATTCAGATTCAGATACAGATTCTCATTCCGATCCTGATGACTGGCCTGCCATACTCAGCCGGCAAAAGGCGACGATGAAGATGGGCAGGAGGAGGATTGCAGATGAGGAACTGGATTGGGGTTACCACACATTCTCGTAGCTCGTGTTCGATTCGCCAGCTGTCGTGCTTTGCAATTCAAATTTTGCATCCTCACTTCATGGGCGAGACCAGCAAGGGCAAATGTATAAAGGCGATTCGGAGACATTTAATTTAAGTTAGGGATATTAAGATAAGGACACAAAGTCAGAGTTGAGATTCTTAATTCGTTTTTTGCAAACTATTGTGTTAATAATAATCGTATTTAAAGCCGATTTTCAAAAGGTTGATACTTTTTATTTAAACCTACATATTTAAAAGTACCAAAAATTATAAAATTTTTTAGAATTTTTAGAACTAAGAACTAACTTACTAAAAATCTGCTTGCTCTTTATTTCTAAAGATAATCAAATTATGTTAATTTAAGTGAGAAATATTAAAAGAAAACTGGCAAAAATGTTTCTATCATTTCTTCTATGACTATGTACCTACAACGAACTTTATAGCTTCGGAATTTTTGACTAAATTTATAATATGGAAATTATATATTCTTGATCTTCTGTTGCTCTCAGCTAGGGTAGTAAGTAAATTTAACAAATCGAATCGTAAATGCGCAGTCTACTTTACTCGCCGTAAATTATTATTCTACAATTTATGTTCATTATCAAGTTATTGGAAGCTTTTTGCTCCACAGATTTTAAGCAAAATTATTTAAGCTTTTGTGAGCAAGCGAGTTTCATTTCACAACGCTCGTTCTCCCTCTCTTCTCTTCACATTCAGACAGATTATATAGATAGCTTGGGGCTTTTGTACTCGTACAACCATGAGATTTCATTTGGCGACATCGTCGGAACTATTCGGATCGTTTTTGGCAACGTGTTCAAAAAAGAAATATCCACGCAAGAAAATATGAAAAATAAGCAAAGTCAAGAAAAGAATATTCCAGTGCGCAGTGCCACAAATACATTTTCTATATTATACAATATAGATATACTATGAGCATGTGATATTGTGCTTGACCCAAACCCCCTGAATCCGACCCCATTATATAAGATAACCCCTTTTAAATTATGTGACTCATTTCCCTATTCCGAACCAGTTCTCCAGAAAAACTGTGAAAGCCTTGATAGATTGAGAGATCTGGAGATCAGTCGTTAAGCTGCGGTGATATAAAGTTGAAGCCAAATAAAAGCTAAAGTGTATACTAGTTTTATGAAATGTAGTCATTGAACTATATTTTCTATTATTCTTTGAACAAGTGCACCCCTGAAATGATTTATTTTGAAATCCACCTAAACCAACCACCTCCCATTATCTTAGAAAATTATGTGAATAAAAAAAAACATAAAAAATGAAACGGTGTTTATGAAATTCTTTTGGGGAAATGATTTTTAGAGAAATATCTTTACTGTGAATTTTCAGTTCTATGGACTGCATAAAAATTATGGATGTGGCAAAATATTGTCATTAGATATTACATTTTATTAAATGTCAGTGAGTTTTAAGGAAATACCTTAAAAAATCAGTGAATGATGGAAAAACTTAAAAATATTTGAAATCAAACCAAATACGTATGCAATGTGTACAATATTTCTTGAAAATATAAAATGTATAAATACAAATACAATCCAATCCTGTGTTGCTCTTCTATTTACCAAATACTCATCCAATGTGTGAAATATTTCTTGAACACACTTAAATATGTTAATAAATACACATATTTTTAATCAGGTGTTGTTCTTTGTTCTACCAAAGACTTATGCAATGTGTGAAACATTTCTTGAAAATATAATAATTATTTTCAAATAAGGTATTACTTAAAATTATTTCAAATGTTAATTATCATCATTCTGATCTCTTAAATAATTTAGTTGGAACTTTAAGTTAGAGATTTGATTTGGTGGTCAGCTACAAAATCCTCAGATGAGGAATATTTAAAATCAATATAATTTTACACACTGTTTTTTATCCATTTTAATATTTTCGTAAACTGGCGAAATTCATAATCATATGAATTTCATTTACTTGAGTAAATTGGTCGGTTAATTTTTTTGTTTTCGCCATTTCATCACATGGCGAAATTCATAAAAATTCCCCACTGCAAAAAAGCTTTGTTTGAGTTTTTTCATTTTTGTTTTGGCAATCGGAGAACGACGCCTAATCCACGTAGTAGATAGCGAGACGTGTAAACAAAATCGCACACAGTATCGAGAGCGGTGCTGAAAGAGAGGAATATGCTACAGTCAACACTCTTTATTATTATTTTATGAAAACTTAACTCTAGAATGCACTTCTTATATTGTGTCATTATTGAGAATTATCAGAAATAGTTTTGTTTTATGGTCCGCAAATATATAATTGGTACATAAATGATGTTCACTCAAAAAAAAATCGATATGAAACGTAGATCGATTTTACATTACTTAAGATCGATTTTAAATTGGTATGGGGCCAGGTAAATTTGACCTGGTCGAAAAGAAAATTTTATGAACAATTGACCTGACACTTACATCGCTTTTTTGTGTGTAAGTGAAGCGCGATTTTGTAATCAAGACTTGGATAATATATATTATTCTTATTTAAATAAAAAGCACGGAACTTCTAATTATAATTATCGGTTATTACCGATCCATATCTAGTAGATATTCGAAAAATATTGCAACAATATAGAGCACTAGTTTGAATGCTTATAAACCCTTTTAGATTTCGGTATTGAAGTTTAGTTAAAAATTTTTAAAAAATTCTATAAGTTTTCAAAGCTTAATAAAGTTGTTGTTTATTTTTTTAATTGATAAATATTTTGATAAAATTAAATAAAGTTTACATTTGCTTAAAAATTACTCAAAATGTTCATAGGTCAGTTTTACTGTACCCCAATGGCTCTCCCTTTGTCTGCGACGCATTTCAGAGCTCCAATGGTTGGGCGTTCTGCCCCCTTCCCCAATTTCCACCGCCTTACCGCCTTACCGCTCCGTTGGTGCCGACAAACAACGACGCCCCAGAGCGTATAAAAAGTGCCGGCCGGCGAGCGGTTGTCATCAGTATCCAAGTTTTCAGCTTTGTGGAAGAGTCCAACATAGCGAACACTAACCAGAAATATTAAACAAGTCAGGCGAAAGCAAAGCAAGTCAAACAAAGTAAATAAAATCCCCGAGAGAAATCGAAATGAGCGAGGCAGCCAAACAGCAGGAGCAGGATCGGGAGCAGCTTCCCCAGGAGCTGATCGACTGCGACATTGATTTCGAGGAGGACTCAGCTCCCAAGGAGCGGGAGGTCAGAATCGCAGCCAAGTCCTCCGACAAACGGTACTCCAAGGCCCTCAAGAAGGTGATCAAGGTGCAGGGTATGCTGGAGGAGGCCATGGCTCTGCTGGCCGAGGAGGATGTGAGGTGCCAGGAGAAGAGATCCAAGAAGGGCAAAAAGCAGGCAAAGAAGCAGGCCAAGAAGGACAAGAAGAAGGCAAAGAAGCTCGCCAAGAAGAAGGGGGAGGAGGAGAACCAGGTGGCTGGCGAGGATCCCGCGAACTCCTCATCCAGCTCCTCCAGCTCCAGTTCCTCCAGCTCGAGCTCCTCCAGTTCGAGCTCCTCCAGCTCCGAAGACGAGGAGGTTAACTTCTACGGCTACGGCTGGGGACACAATCCCTGGCGACGACATGGACACCATGGTATTGGCCGCCGACATGGACACGGTTTTGGCCACAAACATGGTCACAAGCATGGTCACAAGCATGGTCATGGACCTCATCACCATGGCCGACACCATCGCCGTCCCCACTTGGGACCCCACTTTGGACCACCCCACCACCACTACGGACACCACATTGGACCTCACCCCTTTGACTTCAATCGGAGATCCTATCCGGGACCTTGGCAGGATCAGTGCCAGTTTTTTCGGTGGATGGGCTTGCCGTGGGCCCTGGACAATGCCGCGGCCTGCCGGAGGAGCCGATCGCTGCCGAGACCTGAGCCCCATTGTCGTGGAGATCTCGGATTCGGATTCGGCTTCGGACCGGGATACGGACACGGACATGGCCACCAGGGTCGACCACATGGCCGTCGAGTAGAGAGATCCCTATCCCGTTCCGGTTCGGGGGAGAGGAAGCACTGCGAAAGGAAGTCCAGGGGTAGAAGGTCAAGGTCCAGTTCTAGCTCCAGTTCCAGCTCCAGTTCTTCTTCAGAGGATGAAAAGAAGACCCGGAAACGCAAGGAGAAGCGTTCCTCCTCCAGCTCTTCTTCAAGTTCGAGCTCCAGTTCGGACAGTTCGGACAGCCATGTGCAGAGGAGGCATGGTCATCGTCATGGTCATCATTTTGGACCTCCCCATGGACGTCATGGTCATCATGGTCATCATTTTGGATCTCCCGGACACCGTCATCATGGACCTCATTTCGGACCCCATCATGGCCCACACCATGGATTTGGGCCGGAGTTTCCTTTTCCACAAGGAGGACCCGGTGAACGACCACCTTTTGGACCCCATGGACACCATGGACCCCACGGACACCACGGACCCCATGGACCCCATGCCGAACCTTTTGGACCACCATCCGAATTCTTAGGTCGTCGCGGACGTTCACTATCACGTTCCCACTGTGAGAAGGAAAACCGGGAGAGATCCAAGTCCCATGGTCAGGAAAAGGGCGAAAAAGTCGAGGGTCAAAAGGATGGCAAGGATAAGTGCAAGAAGGGCAAGAAGAAGCACGGAAAACGTGGTCATGGACATAAGAACCATCGTGGTTAGGCAATCACAGCCGGCATTTAAGATACATAATATTCCTTCAACAAAATGTATAACTTCCTATATGCATTATTTTCGAACAACTACAAATTGTATATCCTAAAAAAAAGCTTTATTATTATATAGAAAAAAACATTTAAAATTATATTTTAATATATACACAAAAAAATGAATAAAAGAAAAAACCAAAGCAATGCAATATGTTGTATTTATTATGGATTGTTTTACTGTTATAATTACATTTAATAACCAAGTTAAAAACTCAAATTTGATTCTTTTTAGTAATTGAATTCTGTATTATTTAATAGTATTTGACCGCTCGGTTAAGTAAACAACGCAAAATGCATTGTTATTGCACTAAAAATGATAAGGGCAGGAACACTTTAAAAATGGCAAAAACAAATTTAATCTTAAGTTGAGGCACTAAAAAACTCAAAGGGGGTAGAAAAACAATATAAAATATGTAATGACCGAGGAGTAATTTGTCTATTAGTGATGTCATGCGGAAAGGGAGATACCAAAGTAGGTATTCCTGCGTTTAAAAATCAGATAAGGTGGGAATTCACTGAAAGGTTTTCCCACGCAAATGATGATGCATAATATTGATAACAAGTTTGATAAGTTGATCGATAAGAGCTTAATAAATAAACGCGCTCTCATGTTGTGTTTAGGTGCAACCTGGTTTACTAAGGTAAGGTGCTCACCTTAAAAATACTTATTTCACTAGAACAAACTTTCAAATGGAAACTTTCGATTCGAAATAAGTAGTTTTTGATGGAACAATTTGAATCCAACAGTTTTTAGAAGTGACAGAAAGGACTGAGCAAATTGCAATACATAATTGATCATATGCACTAAGTAGATCGAACAGCACTTTCATGGTGTCATAAAAACCCAACAAATATATGATAAAGGCATAGATTGCTGGCATATTACTGCTTTTGTTGGTCTGTTCCCCATCATTCTGCTTAAAGAGCGACAGCCGAAAAGTATGCATCCGGTAGCAGAATTGCTATCTGCTGAGATACATAAAATCATAGAAAATAAGCTTTAATGTCCTCTTCTCTTGTATGTTTTTTATTATATCTACAAATTATTCTTTTATTAACTTTCTTAGGTTATGCAGAATAGTTGGGTACCCACATTGTAACGTAACTTTAAAATTAACTTGGAATGCAAATTAACAAGCTAAGGTCTATAAGTTCTCCATATTAGTGATGATTGCGGCAGCATATGGCCAAATACAGGTTTTTTTTTCATTAGAACCCGATGGCTGTTTGGGGACCGAAACACTCTGGTGGGGCCACTTGCAGGCCTATTAGAAACTCATTAGTCGCACGACCCGGCCAAGTTTGAACTAATAATGTGGTGGTCTCGTCTGCTGGCCATCGGAGGCTCAATTGAAAGAAATTTCCAATTTAACGGCAATGAAAGTCTCCTGGGAACCGAAAGAGTGGCAAGTGGCGCCTTCTCTGCGGTTCTATGGAGTCGACAGCCAAGTGGCCAATTACGATTCTGGATCCGGCACACAGGGCACAATACCAATCTCAATCTGTGGCATCAAGTAGACAAATATAGACTATTGTATGCCTATGCACGTAATGCATTCCCCATTTCCCATTCCCCTGTCTCCATTTGGCATTCAAAAACTGTGCGTCTGTGCGATTTTGACGCATATTTGCCAGCCCAAAACTACCTCACCCACCCACAATTCTAAGTCATTGATACTCACATTTGTGCAGTGAGAAAAAACTCTAATCTATAGGGCCAATATAATAAAAAAGGTAATACCCATAGCTAAATAATAACAATTTCTATTTTATTTAAAATGTTAAAAAATAAATTTAATTTTAAATAAAATAATTTTCTAATATTTCTAATAATGCTCTGAAAAAGAAATTTGTTAAATGAAATTTAAAGTATTAAATTCTGATGGTTTTTAGAAAGTGTAATACAAAATTCGCTTTGATTCCATTTAGTGGATCTAGTGTAACTAAGAAAATATGTTCCATGCTAAGGACATTTTGATATACTCTGTATATTTTGGTTTCCTTTTTTTGCAGTGCTCATTTGTTTCTGTGCGAGGCAGCAGCAGGCTGAAATGCACAATTGCTTCATTTTGCAAAAGGATTTTATTAAACCCGAACCCGAGAGTGAAGTTGAAACCGAAGCAAAGTGTTGGTCGATAAAGGCAAGTGCCAGGCTGTTTGGTGATGGAGAGAGTGGGTTCTTGGGGGGTACTGAATGTCCTGGCTGCTTTCCCAAGGATCCCCAGCAATCCCAGGCAATCGAAGTCGATTTGCCTTCGAGCGTGTGTGTGTGTTTGAGTGCGTCTGTTTGCGTAGTTATGGTAAATATTCATATTTGTAGCGTGTGCGCAATGTGTTGAAATTAGCATTTATGAATTTTGTGCCAAATGTCGAACTCAAACACTTACGTGGCACGTACACATGGACATGGCAATCCCAACAGAAACTACATTGAGTGACTCGGCCCCCCCTTTCGGCCCCGCCCCCTCATTTTCCGCCGCCCCCTTTTTCGGTTTCTCTGTATTATGCGAGAGATTCCTGGTTATGGCTTTGTGGCTTTTTGGGCCAGCCAGCGGCTCACATTTAGTCATTGGCCGTCCATTTGCATTTAGATTGCGGCCCATTCCACCCAGAAAATCCCTCCTCCGCCCCCCGCAAAAGCCCCTTAACCCAATGATGCCAAACAACTGCCGCAAGTGACTTCTTTGAACTGTTTGGTCAGGAAAAGGCCAACGGGTGACATCTGCCGCTCGACAATTTGTGCAGCCCTCTGCGGTAAGAAGTTCGTGTTCATGGGCACCGATTTACATAATTATAAGTGGAAAGTTTGCAACAAAGAATCTGCGCTTCGGGTGGTTTCCCATCGGAATAGTTTTACTGACTACTGGTTAATACCATCCGTTTTCACTTACTTTCATGTGTTTTGTAATCTGATAGTTTTCAATTTTAAAGGTAATTAAAAGTTTTAACAATTATTTTAAAATTACGATTAAATAGTTTTCTGTTTTTTTTTAATTTGATTTTAGAGTATTCAACATTTTTGGAGTGGCCAATTACAAATATTATACAAAATTCAATAATTCATATCATTTAAATAAATCAACAAAATCCTGACTTTCTGGTGAGTCAAAAGAACAAATCTAGGATTTATTTACCACGACCTTAGTTCCCACGTATCCGACTATTGTTTTTAACATTTTTCTCCCAAAAATCATTTTATTTTGCACTCGCTTCATCAATTTCGCCTTTTAGTCTTTGTCAACACATGCGTCCTATGAAAATAAAAGCAAATGCACATTTATTTTCCCAAAAATATATCTTGTTTATTATGCGATTTGCTGCTCTTTGTGAACTGAGTATTCGGGTGCTTTTTAATGCAAACATGAAATTGATTTTTGATTTTTATTGTTTACATAAAATGATGACGGCAAGTATTACGAGCTGGAAATTCATAAGTACCATATAAAATGACAACGATTTTTAGAACTGATTCAATTTTAAAAGCCTTCCCTCGGGTGATTTCGCCATAAAAATCATTGTGCAATTTCAAGGACATTTTAGGGGCCACAAACTGATGTTTGATTTGGCGAATGGCGATGTCAAATATATTTTTAATAACGAGCAATATGCTTTAAAAATCAAAGGGAAAATAGCCGTTTGATTGGGTATGCAAAGTAGGATCTTTTAAAAGAAAAATTACAGAATCGTCCCACAAAAAGGGATCTTTAAATTCCGTGGAAGAGCATTTGAATATTTCCACCATCCTTAACCGTCATGGTAATTAATTGTGTAATTTACACATTAACGAGCGGAAAAAGATCGTTCAGCGAAAGCACGTGGTTGATGTGGTGCAAGTGCTGCTCTCAATTGCAAAAGGACATTGCAAAAGGACCTCTACCTCGTCATTCAACTGGCCTGTGTTTTTTTTCGAACGGCCCTTGCACTTGTTTGGCCTTGTCCGCTTTTGATTAATGATGCGGACACTGGATCTCTTTTTTACGGCCTCCTTTAATGCGTGTATCTGCAAACGACTTACACGGATATCCTAGCGAGGACATGGGGTGAGTGCAGATTCCACGGCTGTGCTGTCGGTGGTGGTGGCAGTGCCAGAAAACTCGATGGTGGTTGAGCCCGGGCTCTTTGTTTGCCCACTTTTGCTGCGACCCCTACCACAAACATCCCCCTCGAGAGCCGTCCTACGGATATCCTTAGCCGTATCGGTGTCGCGATTGGGGTTTAATCTGGTTAGCGGCCCTGATGACGACAGCCGGGGAAAGGCAGGCAAACCGGATACCCGGCGAGACGGTGACGTTTAAGCACAATTGCTGTGGCTAATGTGACACATATTGTGACAAATTGCATGAACTTGTACGGAGCTTGGCGGAATAGAGGAATCGAGAAATGGTGGGGTCTTTGTTCCTTTGCGGGGTTGGATTGCCCCGGAATTGTGTAAACACGTGTTGCAGTTCCTCGTAAATCAATTAGCGACCGATTGACCAAGTGTTTTCTATTCAATTCTTAAGTTCTGATTCGGAAAAATAACGAAAGAATAGGAATTGTAGATAATCTGAACATATTTTAATTCTGTTCAAGACATAATAATCGGATCATAATTATTTAGGGCTAGAATAATTTATTTGAAATATATAAAATAAAGCTTTATTTGTTTTTCAAGTATGGTTATGAAATTGGGTAAAAAATAAATGGCAAAGAAAATGAAAATGTAACCAAATTTTTTATAAAAAGGCTATAAGTAAGCTATAAAATTAAAATAAAACAAATAGTATTTTAAAGATTTTTCCCTCCGATTCGAACTTTAATTTTAGTTTTGCAACATCGGATGCACTTCCTCCTCCAAAAACAAAACCAAAGAGGGACGGGATGCCAGTCAAAAGTCCGGTCCTTGGGCGGCATTTGCGACACATTCGTGTCAACGACGCTGTCGAACGGCCCGTCATCGTGGGGAGGATACGCATAAAGGATCCGGATCCGTCCGAATCCGGGCCTTTGAACTATGCATGACGAATCGGCATTTTACGCCCATTCTCGTTCCGAAGGCCATTTCACCATTTCACCGGGGTTGCGACTGCTGTGGCAAATGCTTTGTGCCTGTCAACCGAGCGGAACTAATTTCGAGGCTGCACCTGCAGAAAGAGCCACCGATGGTGGTGCAGTGGCAAGTGGGGTGATTGCGCAAGTGGTGCAGCTTCCCAAAATAGGAGGGAGGGTGGGGGAGAAAATCTACTTTACCGGGGTGTGTTTAAGTTCGATTGCTAGCACATTAACATTCTTTTATTTTACAAGGTCTAATTTTGATTTGGGCTTAAAATTCGATGGCCTTCGGAGGCCAAACTAGTGATCCAGGGAGTCCTTGACGCCGCATTCCCCATAGGCCTGCAGTTCCTCGGGCCGGAAGTAGGAGCTCTGCATGCTATATAGTCGGTCGATCGGATTGATCATCGGTGTTTGGGCAAAGGGTCCCATTAGCTGTTGAAAGGTGGCGTAGCTCAGTCCCAGAATGGTATTCAGTATGGGCTCGCTGTTCTTGTTGCAGTTTTCTGTAATGTAAATAGCTTGGAATTTATCATCCTCTTTTGGTAGTGAACAACCCACCTTTATTGGTCTCCATGCAGTTGAAGGGCACTTGCTCCTGTTCGTCCTTAATGGTGCATCGCATCCGGTTCAGTCCATCGGAGGTCGTGGAGTACGGCGACTCCAGCTGCGATTCACTGTCGCTGTGCGCCTCGTCCTTGATCTTGGTGGCCAGACTGCTGTCCAGGGATTCCTGCGAATCCTGCGAGTCACTCGCTCCCTTGCTCGGCGGCTCCTGCTTGGCCTTCTTCTGTATCTTTTTTACCTTTGCTCGCTGGTTTTGGAACCAAACCTAATAATAAGAGGCGAATTTTAATGATGTATTTATTAATAAATTAAAATTAAGTATTTAATAATTCAATCATATTTTAATAATTTAACAAAATTATCAACTATCAATTTAGATATTTTATAAAACATCATAATTTTTTATCTTTTAAAATAACATTATTTTAGATCTTTTGAATAAATATTGTATATTTTAAATTGTTTGTAAATTTTATTCTAATTTAAGTTACCAAACTAAAACCAAAAGGAAATTATTATTATATTGTACCCAACTCAACAAAAAGTTATTAATTATTTTAATGGTCAATAAAGATTGAATTTTTTTATTTTAATAGTCAATAAATAAATAAATTTTTGTTCAAGAATAATATTTATATTTTAAGTTCCTTATTCACCTGCACGATCCTCAGGCTCAAGCCAGTGTCCTTGGCCAGGTTCTCTCTCACTTTTCGACAGGGTTTTGGGGAGACTTCGAAGGAGGCCTTAAAAGCCCTTCTTTGCTGGGTATTTAGAATAGTCCTTGGTCGCTTGGGTCCCCTTCTTCCGTCCAATTTGGGCGGAAAGAGCTCATCGCCATAGAAATCTACTCAATATTATGATTATTATTTTTTAAACAATCCAAGTAAGTTATTAACTCACCATATCCCTGTAGCATCTCCACCTCCTTCTCGTAGTCAAACCGGCAGAAGAGCTGTCCCTGCTTGACCACGTACTGCTCCCCTTTCTTCAGGAGAGCTCCACAAACCACACAGGCGAAGCACTTCAGATGGAAGACGTTCTCGTGGCACCGCATCACGAGCTCATCGGCGCCGATTTTGAGGCCACAGCCAAGGCAATGATTCCGGATGTAGAGTCTGCGGTGGAAAGAAGGATCACACTTAGAAAACTATTTGCCATGATGGTTAGAAAAAAATCTACACATACGATTTATTAAAAAATTGGTATTCGCCTTAAAAGGCGTTTTAAAGAGAGAATTTATCGATTTTTTTGATTCTTTAAATAATATCAATAAAAGATCAAAGTTAAATGGTTCACAAATATAGAACTACATTTTGTAATACTTTTTATAATATGTATAGAAAATGTTTTATTTATTTTAATTAATGTTCAAAATAAAACGGCACTATAAAACATTGACTAAATAAGTTTAAATGTAGTGTCCTAATGAAAGGCAGTTGTTAAAAGAAAACAAATAATTAACCGTATTTCCCTTTTTTCTTCATCATATGTTCTTAATTTAAAATAAAATCATAATTACCGTATTTTTTAAAAGTATCTTTTTGAATTTACTATAAATATCTGTTCAAAGTTATACCATATCTAGAATTTATTAAATACTATTTCTACTTTTAATATTCATTTAATGCTCAATACAAAATAATGAGATTATTTTAATGCAAAGAGTTTACTATTTTAGAAACTAAGTTAACTCGAGTGCCTTTATTTTAGAGGTCACATGTGGGAGTCGGTAGGGGGGACTCTGGACTCACCTCTCGTAGTCGATGCGGCAGTAGAGCTTGCCCTCCCTCGCGTAGCAGGAGTGCACCAGGTGCAGCGAGCAGGCGGTGCACTTCAGGCAGCCCTCGTGGAAGGAGTTCTCCACCACGCGCATTATGTAGCGATCGCAAATGGGCTGGCAGCAGTGGGCACACTGGGGTCCCATGCCCAAGCTCAGTTCCATGGCCATTCCGGAACTGGAAATGGAACTGCTGCCCATTCCCTGAGGCGCTTGCGGTGTGTTGGATGCCGATGATGGCGGTGCTGCCGGTGTGGCGAAGCTGTCCATTCCATTCAGGCTGCACTCCCCCAAGGTGATGCGGCTGCAGAGGGGATGGGGATGTGGATGGGAATGGCTGGGTGGTCCAGGTCCTGCTCCTGGTCCTGGCATTTGGATCCCGCCCATGGGCTGCTTGTTTATGCTGTTGCTGTTGTGGCTGCTGCAACTTCCGTTGACATTTCTGCCTACTGACGCCATTTTGTCATTGTGGGCCACTCCGGCTTTGGCACTCGATGTTGCTGCTGCCGACGTACTCCTTCCACTTCCGGTTGCCACTACCGATGTTGCTGCTGTCGTTGGTGTTGTTAACATGCGTTCATTTCCGTTCAACAGCAGTTGATTGAGGCCCCCAGTTTGCGGCGTTTGCTGCTGCTGTTGCTGCTGCTGCTGTTGACATTTTATGTCCATCGGAACTATTTTGGTTTTGCGGTCGTGTCGTTGGTCCAGCCCCCCAATCCAAGTCCCCAAAGGAGGCACATGCAAATGAGAAACATTTCAGATATTTTTATTTTCACTCTGGCATGCACACTGCGGCCAGGGCCCCGCCCTTTCGGCCTCAAATTTACAACTATGGTTCAGGCGGGATAAAAAGGGTTTTGTGTTTTTGCGGGCAGAACCATCAGGACCATCAGAACCACCAGTGTCCATCTGCTGGGCACTGCGACCCATACCCATAACCATTTCGAGTTGTAGTAAATTTGTGGTTTTGCAATTATTGAAATGACTTTTCCACCAAACAAAAGAGTGAGTGAGTGAGTGAATGTGCGACTGCACTCGAAATTCCCCAAAATGCCATGCGAAATGGCATGTAAGTATGCAACAAAAACGAAAAAAAAAAATAAATACGGCCAACGCTGCGTATGCGTAACCGATGAGTATGTGCGATTGTTCGGTGGCTTGGTGGCAAAAAATTACTGTACATTTGCGGTCCTGACTGGTTGGCTTTTTGTGCCTTGTTGTCTCAATTTATGGCAAATTGCTGAAATTTCACCGTAATTTGTTTCCCAGCTTTTCAGCTTTGTGTGTGTGTCGCCGTCGTTCATTTTGTTTGGTTTTTCACTTGTTTTCGTTGCAATTTCCCACCCCGCCCCCTTTTATGTACGTTTGTCATTCCTCATTTGAGTGATTTAAATGTGTGCGTAATTTCATTAAATGTTTGCAAAAATTATATATGGTATGCCAATTTATGCCAGAAATATGCACAGAATGTTAAAGTATTCCGGCCATCGTTCACATTAACAATTCTGCTACACCTCTTACATTGATTGACGTGGATTGCTTTAGTCCTGTTTAAATTTTTTTTATTTTGGCGAAATGGTAAGTAAATTCGAAAATGGTCGATTGCAGTTTTAAGTGCATTTAATTGGACTGAACTTAATTGCCATTTGAATCTGGGATAACTGATAGTAAAAACGTATGAAAAACGTGAAAATCTGACTGGTAAATTGGTTAAACGATTTCTATAAAAGTCGGAATATATTTTGGTTCATTTGAAAAAAAGTAAAATTAAAAGAAAAAAGCGATTTTAAATATATGTTATATTTGCCAAATTATTTAATTTAAGTAACAAAAACTTTGTAAATGTTTTGAAGATCGATTTAAGTATGTTTAATTTAATTTTAACTTAACTGTCAGCTCTACCGAATTCACAGAATATTTTAAAAATTCTATGGTATTAGTATAAAATACAAGATTAGGTACTTAGAAATGCTCATGTGGCATTTATTTTGAACTTTTCTTTACTGATTACCCTAAATATATCATAAAATAAAATATGCAATCCCTTAAAAGTTTTTTTTTAATTTTTGAAAGAAACCAATTGTTAATTATAGGTACATTTATTGTTTGTTCCCTGCTGGTCAATATATAAAAAGGGTGACAAATTAATTATGGGGTGATTTATATATTTATATATAACTATAGTCTCTCCAGCAGTCTTTCAGCCTTTTGGCCTGATCCAAATCCTAATCTACTTTCCCTCTCTAACATTAACTTGTGACACTTGGAACAACGGGGGGCTACTCCCTAAGAAGTGCAGCGGAACAATCCGCTCAGCAACCGCACCTGTTACACTTTTAGTGCTCTGTCATTCACCGTTTGACATTCGAAAATATTCCAACATGTTTGCCGGACATGCGAAAGCATAGATCTCGAGGTTTAGGATTTGGGACGACAAGTGCAAAGCCGACATTGATAGTCCTTCCACTTGCAGCCCCGCTTCTAATTAGATTCTAATGTGCAGCGGGAACTGAGGGGCGTTTTCAGTTCGGTTGGAAATGGCACCCCTTGCACCCTGCTTATAACTAGATTATAAACGAATTTCATTGAATCAGGGGCTAACCGGGGCATTTAGCAGGAGGATTTCCACCCCTATAAGAAAATATGCTCGGGCTTAGCAAATAACCGGAGATGAGGCGAAAAAGGGGCTCATGATTTCGGTTTCGGCGGCTGGCGGCATATGTTGGCAGTCGACAGTCGGCTGTTCGTGAGCGGAAACCCTTGGAAATCCTTGCCAGGATGTCGGGCTGCCAGGCTGCCAGGATGCTGTGTGCTGCCTCCGAATCCGCTGTCAGTTGCCAGCAGTTCGCTCGGCAGCAACTGACAGCGTTTTATTTAATCGGATTTGGGCAGACAATGAAGTTATGGTGTCGTCCCGTTGCCGTTGCCTCTGCCGTTTTGTTGTGCCAGCAATCGCAGCGTAAATGCTTTGTTTTGGCCTAATCTCTGACAGAAGTCAAAATTTGCTTTGCTCTGGAAAATATGTTGTAATTTTCATTGGCTCAGAGCCAGTTGAACTTAAGTGGGCGGTTGTGCATACTCGGCACTATTGGTGTCAAATATATTTATCTAGAGGCCGATTAAATTATATGTGTGCATATTTAATACCTTAATTGCTTTTTGTGCTGTGCGAAATAGATTTTATTAATGTCAACAAACCTATTTTAACAATTACATTGAATAAGAAATAAATAAAATTAGGTGTTTTAACTTCTTCACTGATTTTTGGGACATCATATATCACTATATCTTTCACTTTTTTTTTAAAGCTGATGACAAACAAACAAGCATTTAATCTCAGAATTATAGAAAGAAGGTTTTAAAGCATGTTAGTGTGATAAATTGATATTAAGATATTGGTTCTTAGTAAAAGTGTATTCGGATAGAGGAACAGATAAGTTTTCCAGAGTTCGACGAAAGTTTGAATATAAAATATAAATAAATACTTAAATAATTAGCGCCAGATTTTAATGTCAGTTGTGTGTAAATTCAAATGTTTTATTGCCCCATCTTAAATTTAAATGACTCGTATAATTTTTGTATATTCGGCAATTATTCGAGTAATTTAAATACAAAACAATGAAAGATAAAACGTTACCATTACAATAAAATAAGAAGTTTGTCCTGAACAACAAATTGAAACAAAATGCCGACGGAAATGTCGACTATTGGCCGTGGAAAAGCCGTCGGCTTTCGAAGTTGAAAATTCCATTTCTTGACTTCCTCGATACTTACACAATCCAATCTGCATGGGATGCTGTTCGTCGATCATGTTGGAATCGTTTGAATTAGAAAAGGGAAAACTATAAAATAACGTTCACTGACTTTTACATAATTTTCGCGAGACTTTGCACGGGATTTTCCTGAGTTTCCTACGTAACTTGGCACATTTTGAGAGTATTTTGGCAAGAACACATTTCAGACAGTCCCTTCAGAAACTGTCGATATAATTGGATTTAAGAACTGCTGGGGCGGCCAGTATCGGACTTCTGACCTGGCCCTGTTACGAAACGCGATGCTTGAATGATTACGGACCTCTGATGTTAATGAAATTTGTTAAAAATCATTTGCTCTTCTTGGGCGAAATGCACAGGCATCTGCTGCCGAGATGCTGGCTACCGAGGAAATTCTCTCCAATCCGGAGGAGAAATGGCCAATGTGCTTGTGCGCCATTTTAGCCTCATATCCCGTTCTCCATCCCCTGAAAGGCAGTTGAGAGCCAGCCATTTGCCTTTCCCCAGCTTTGTGAGATTCGCCAGCTTTTGGCGCATGCGTTGGGACCCGACCCCCGACCCCCCTATATCATCCGTTTTATTCCGATTCCGAATCCGGGTGGCGCTACTGAGTAGTTCTTTTGCCTTTGTTTTTGCACTTTTGACTTTTGTCTTTGTCTTTGCCCGTCGTGGGGCCTTCGTTCGGGGACTTTTATTTGTTTTGTTGTACTACCAGGCTATACGTATTTTGTATTGACAAAAGGATGTTTGGCTCGGCGATTTCTTGCTTGCTTTGTCGCCTCAGCAACAACATCCCCCGAAAAAAAGGGACTCTCCCTCAAATGGCTGGAATTTTGTTTTCCTTTTCCTTTTTTTTTTTGGCTCTTCGCCGTGTGTGTGTCGCTGGCTACTATTTTATTCCCTTTTTCCGCAGTGGCTTGTACATTTTAAATTTATTGATTTTCGAACGCTATAAAAAGGACTAGGATTAAAGACCAGCGAGCAGTGTCGCAGCTTTAATTAAGGTTGGGCTTGGGCCATTGTCCAGGCGAATTCGGGCTGTTAATGACCGACACCGTCCCTTTAAACTTGGCCCAAATGAGTTTCTGGTCTATTAGGCCAGCTCGCCAAACTTTAATGTCTAAGCACTTGCCGGCTGACTTGACTGCATGTCTAGCTGCGAGATGAGGACTTGTCTGGCCGAAACTCCTGGCTCTTGGCTCGACTGCTCCTGCTGCCTGCCCTTCTGCCTTTCCGACGAAGTCGAAAATTCCCAGAAAGTTTCGCTAACGCGAACGTGTTACTCACAATTAGTGTGCCGGCGGACCATTTAACTGCCAGCCACCTTTCGCCCTCTCAGCCCACTTTTCCCACCCCCGAGATGATGATAATAATTATGTGCGGTAATCTTTGCGATTCATAATCGCTACACGAAGCACTGAGTTGGGTAAAGAATTTAAAGTACAATAAAGCCACATTAAATTCTTGATCCTTGGGATTTTGAGATCTGCTTTTCTTTTGTTGTTTTTTGTTTTATGAATATTATTTGATTTTTTGTAGACGAGTAATTTAAGGAACGACTAAAAGAGAACTTTGACTAAAAGAAATTTTAAAATAAATTGATAGCTAAAATCGTTAAGTTTTGCTTTATTAATACTCCAAACAGAAGTTTTAATCTCAAGGTTAAAATAATACCAGCTATTTTATTTTGTATATTATATTTTTGCTTTCGGATTTTTAAATAAAGGAGTGTCAGGATGTTAAAATTAAAGTTTATTTTAAGCCTTAAAAACTTTCGTTGCTGTGTGAGCGTATTTTAAATTGAATATGCTGGTGCGAAAACGGCATTATGAATCATAGAAAATTCTTAGAAACTAAAAGCTGTAAATATTTTATTATCAATTTTATTATTATTATAGAATTAACTTTGATTTCACTGCCCTCGATTTTGTAAATTCTAAAACAGGAAGCGAAATCCTTCTCGGTTTTACCTTCACCCACGATGAAACTTTTGGCACTTTGTCTACGCGCAGCCTAGACATGGAAACTCAAGGGCATCGGTTTTGGATGGGCCCGTCGTAGTTCCGCCGTCCCCCATCTCCAAGACCGCCTCCGAATCCCGATGTCATCGCCTGTCGTCAGAGGGCCCTGAGTTCGCATTCCGCTCGACACTTGCAGTTGGCTCCTGCTAATGACTAAGATTAATTTGGGTCACTGTGTTTCCGACGGCATCCCGATATTGGGGCCACTTTCGAGGGAGTTGTAGGTGGTGGGGTGGGGTATTGGTGTGGGCACAATAGGGTTCGGAGTGCACAAACTACATACATATGGGAATTATGCGCGTGCCTTTTGTTTGAGTGAATATGCAGCTAAGTGCATGTGTTCGTGTCCATTGGCGGTGCGATTTCGGTGGCGTGCAGCGGAAACTGAAATTGTTCGGGGTTAATTAAACACGACATGTGTGGCATAGCATAAATGTGTGGGCGGGGCGGGGGCGTCGGCGGCGGTGGGGCGCTGGCGACCCGCAAGTGTGAACTGCGAAATGGGGGTCAGGCGCTAATCAATGCGCCATAATAGACAAATGACCCGACGCCCCAGCATTGAGTTCATTATGCTCGCATTGCCAATGTGTTGATGCGTTTATGGAGTTTCGATTAATTTTAGAGGCCAGATAATGCTGCCAAGCTAATTTACTGGGTGAAAACGGATGACTAGATAAATTAGCCCTTCGAAATCAGAAAATATCCCAAGACAAACCTCTTTTAAATAAAATTATAACTTTGTTTATTACCTAAATATATGCTGCCTACAAGAATAAGTTTAGAAGATGTAAAAAGTTACAAACTCCATATTTTAGTTTTTTCAGATAAAATTATAAAATTTCGGTAAATATTTTCCTTTTTAAATAGTTTTTAAGAAATATTTTATGGTGTTATATCTGACCAAAGTTTAACATTCCAAACGATATCTACTAACTATAACCTTAAATTAAGCTAAAAGTTTTAGCTATTACAAATTTTATAACCCTAGAATTTAAATCATGTTTAATTTCGTAACAGCAGTAATTCCTATTTATTCTGTTTAAATAAAATGCCATTTAATTCCGAAACAGGAAGAACAGATATAATTTATTAAACCATTTGACACAGCAAAAAGCTCACGCACAATTGACATGAACAAATTGTGAATATATGTATTCCGGTAAACTGTGCTCCACACTAATGGCGTGATAAATTTTGCACCACAACTTTTCCGGTTCTCCGCTTTTTCCGGGGCAACGAAAACGGGCTGCATTTGTATGCAGGAAAAGCCTTCGCATTAATGTCCTCATGTGAGGACAGAGCCGCGAGGGTCCGGAACTCCCGCTGCTCTGGCTCTGACCTGTTGAGCCAATCGCACCGACAGGGCTAAAAAAATAAATACACAAATATGTATTTATTTATGTGGCCCAAGGAGGCGGCTCGGCAAACGCAGAATGAATAAAATATTTGGCATTACAAATTGTTGCGATTTTTTCGTTGGCCGTCGGCCCAAAAGGGATGCGGATATGATTGCGGATGCTGTATGCTCCGTGGGTGGTGGATGCGGATGTGGATGTGGATGTGGCTGCAAGGGTGGCAACAAAGTAACGCTGAATTATACGTTGACCAGGACCAAGGACCAAGGATCCTGGCGACGCAGTTGCCATTACTGTTTGGCTGGCGACAGGCCTAAAAAATAAATAAAACAATTTACCTTAAGGCATAATAAAAGTTCATGGCTGACAGTGCGATGCGAAGGGGAAATGGGGGAAAGTTGCCACGGTTACTGTCGTCAGAGAATACAGTGCGGAAATAATCATAGGCATATGTGTCCAAAGAATTGTAATATAGTACTGTAACCCACTTAAAGCCGATTTACTTAAACAGAAAAAATATGATATTTAATTAGCTTTTACGACAAATAAAACATTCTTTTATGAACAAAAATATTAAAATATATTAAAAAAATTTTAAATTAATTATCTTTAATATTAAGAATCAATAAATCAATACATATGAATCTAGGAACCGAAATGGTGATATTGATGTTACAGAAATCTCATGAATTTGGTTCCAATAAAACCAGAAGGTTTTCATGATTTTAAAATTAATGCCTTAAAAATGTTTAAAGCGAAAAATCACATTACTAACCTTTTAAAGTGGCTTTCAACATTGAATTACTTTTAGCCTCACTTAAGTTCATGCTATTTATTATTCATCTTAAGCATTTGCTAATTTTCTCAGTGCACGAAGACGACTTATCGAGTTGCAAATAGCAAACTAGTCAGACAAAGTCAATATTTGAGAGCAATTTTCGGCTTCGTTTCCAATAACCATTACGGATAACACATAGCTCGGAATTGCGAACATTTCGCTCACAGCTCCGCACAGCGGGTAAAAACAAATAGTTTTCAGCACTACAAATACAACACTTCCTCCGAGCAAAGGCCTTGGCGATAGAGACCCCATATCATATCGGTAAAATGGACTCCGAACGAAGTCGCAATGATATCCAGCTGCTTCGCAGCGGGCGGCTTATGCGGATCTTAGTTGGCATCCATTCCACGATACTTTAAAGCCTGTCCCCTCGTTCTTATATTCACCGGGAAAAGTGTCCCCCATTCCGACTAAGCCCGCCTTTGTTGTCCTGCTGCTCCTCCCCCAAGAAAGTCCCCCTCCGCCTCCTCCTTCTCGCAGAAATTCCAAATCCGCTCTTAAAGGATTTGTGCATCATCGTTTTGTGCGCTGCGCTCATCATCGTCAGGATGGCATCAGCTTTTGGCATCACAGATTCAGAATCGCAACCAGAATCAGGCGTCAGCATTGTGGGTTCCTTTTATGTGGCCCACTCTTTTCATATTACACGGCATTTGGCTATGACGGACATTCAAATCTTTTTTGAGCTGAAAACTGTTTGCTGATTCCGCTTTTTCCATTGTGGTGCACAAGAAGTGATTCTGGGGGATGAGGATACTTAAAGGCGAATTATGTCGTGGTTTTAAATGGAGTAAATCTGCTATTGAATGGGCGAGATTTAAACTTTCTTAAATTTATAAAATCTTATTAATATTTTTTTATTTAGATAAGAAAATTTCTACTTAATATTGCTTATGTATCACTTTCATTTAAATGTTATATGAAAAAGGCGTCGTTCGACCTAAATAAAATGTTCGAATTTAGCTAGAAATCGTTAATAGCCCCGCTTAAGTTCATGACATGGTAATCTTGAGCTCTAGCTAATAAATAAGACCATAAGTTCAACCATAAGACTCACTTGACCCGAGGGGCCGCTTTAAAACATGAACGAGACGCACTGCTACTGTT